TCCAACCCTGTCTTGCTCTCACGCAGTCTGGGCTCACGTGCGTCTCCATCACCCTCCCTCTCAAGGAGACCCTGCCTCTCTGCTCCCTCACATGCTTCCCACCTAAAGCCTGATGTTCTCTGGGCGCTCAGTCTGCCCACCTCCGGACAGCAGGGCTCTCACCCCGTTCACAGCTGCCCCCCAGCACAGCAGGGGCTTGAAAGCAGCACTGGCGGGGGTCACTGAGCACAGCAAGTTCTGCGGCGATGCCCTCGCCTCTCCTGTCGACAAGCAACACTAAGCAGCAAATTCTGGCTTCTTGGAAAAACCTTGCTGTTGTCATTTAGCGGTGCTGGCTCCGGTCCGTCTGGGGCTGCAGAGGGCCACCAGCAACCCCACGGGCTCCTGGCCGGCACCCGGGGCTCCTCAGTGGTCCTCGGTCCTCGGCCTCTGTGCCTGTCTCTCCGACCACTCCCGCCCCTCAGAATGCGGACCGTTGCTGCAACAACTTGAGGAAGAGTTCTCCTGGGGACTGCCTCGTGACATTGCAAGCTCTTGGGGCGTCTTCTCGGAGCTGGAGAAGGCTCCGGCGACCCCGGACGCAGGAAGAACAAGACTGACCTCCAGGCTGACTTACAGAAAAGCTAACCAGCACCTCAAGGTTTGGACAGGAATGTCCTCAGCATTTTAAAGAAGGAAAACAGCAGCTGGTGCCTCCGCCTTCTAGGCCACTTGCATGGTTCCCACCAATTCATTCTGAAAGTTTGAAATAGTTAAAAATAAATATTTAAAAATAAATTAGCCCAGCCGATGTGGCTCAGTGGGTGGAGCATCATCCCATGGACTGAGAGGTCCGGGTTCGATTCCCAGTCAGGGCACATGCGCAGGGTTGCGGGCTCGATCCCCAGTGGGGGGCATGCAGGAGTATTGATGTTTCTCTCTTACATTGATGTTTCTATCTCTCTCTCTAAAAATCAATAAAAACATTTAAATAAAGAGAAAGAAACTAAGTAGGGATTCTTACCAAGTCTATCACAAGGGTTAAAATTTCAGACAGCCTTGAATTCAGAATTTGGTTAGACCCAGTACCACAGCTGTCCACAGACTTTGGTTTAGAAAATGCGGTCACTGCATTAAAGGATTTTCTTTTACCTTCAATGACAGCAGGTCTGCCTTGGACTTACTTGATTTTTCTTCTGCACAAGAGAAAAAAACGCCAAATGACCTATGAGCTACAAGAAAAACACACTGAGCCCTCGTCAGTAGCAAATGGAAGCGGCAAGGGCCACTCCTACTAACATAGACCCAGGGTGCTGAGTTAGTGCAGGTTGGACACTGTGCTTCCAACTTGGGGTTCCTCCTCCCACCAGCACCCACGTGAAGCTCTTAGCCAATGTCCTTAGGTCATCAGAATATCAAGGCTCATTGGAAAGGAATTTACCAAAGTTCAAGAAATTAAAGGGCTGGCTGGTGGCAGAAAAAAAGGAAGACGAGAGAAGCCAGTGGACTTCTGAGTCTGTTCTGCCCTGAGACTCAGTCCAGTCAGATTCCTGGGAAAACTCTTAAATTTCCCTGTTTCCAAAGACATTGCTTTGATTTTTGTCTCCTGAAACCAGGACCAGCCCTCCTGCCTCCTCTCTACCTCCCCGCCCTCCTCCTGCACACTCAGGACCTCCAGATACATTACTACCTACCGAGTTCTGGCTGACCTCCGGCAGTACAGGTCCCTGCTGACTGTGCTGGGTTTATCCGTCCCTTCCACCGGATGTCAGCATGAGCTGAGGCAGGAGCGTGCTCAGGGCAGTCCTCCTCCCGGCTGGGGCTCAGGGCTCTCACAGCTCAGCAGGGCGTGCACCAGGGACCTTGGCCAGCGGCAGGCTCCCTTGCACACCAGGCCCCCCACCGTGGGTGCCAACCTGGGCAGGCTGACACTGCCACCTGGCGGCCTCGGGGAGAGTGGCACATAGACCTGCAGGCGTTGGAAGGAGTCTGTCCATTTCCAAGGACTGCAGCCAACACAGGCTGCGGGGTGCTCCCCAGCAGCATCTGGGTGCAGAGAAGGGGCAGGCTGTGGGGCTGCCGGAGGGCTAGTGGTGAGATCACACACAAGGTCACCCATACACTCCAGCTCAGCTCTGTGGGCAGCAATCCACACCCCATGCTCTTTTCTGGGGATTTTTTCCATTATAGAAAAACATCTTCAAAGATGACAAGCTCCAGGAGCCACTAAGATCAGGGTGAATTCACAGGCAGATGCCCGAGAAGTGCCTTTAGGACAAACGCTGGTGCAGTAGTGTCCTCTCCCTTATGGGACGTGTCCAGCCAGAGTGTTGTGCGTCTCCCTGGCACAGCAGAAAATTTGCCCCAGGGTGTTGACAACCCTTCAGACCCCTAGTGGAAGACATCCAGCCAGCAGAACCCCAGGATGAGGTTCCGGCACCCCCAGGGCTCCTGGCCTTCTGGCTCCCTGCCCCTCTAAGCCGTCCGTGGTCACAGCTGCCACCTCCTCTGTGGAAGCTCCTCCCACGTTTCTGAGTGGCCTGCAGCTGGCAGGTGACGTGGCCGGTGTCTCTGGCTCCACAGACTCTCGATGGGCACTCGGTCTCTCAAGTGCAGGTTTCCACGCCCCAGCCCCAGACCAGGGCGGTGCATCTGGGGTGGCCCAGAAACTCATGACAAGTGTTCTGCACAATGCGGGGGACCCACCATCCGAGGATGGGAGACCAAGTCAGAAAGCATGTTAGGGTTGCTCCCCTACAACAGGCGGTACAGAAAGGCAGAATGATACCTATCAGAACAGTAGCTGGGACATTCTTGGTCACACAGACCGTCTCCCTACTAAATGATGCACATTCTTCCCTGTAAGTAAGAGCTGGGAACATGGAGGCGAGTGGTAGCTAAAGTCACAGGCTTGGTGGGGCCAGTGTAGCCCCTGCAGCCTGTCCAGCAGACTCAGAGAAATATTTCTGCTAAGGTCAAACCAACATCTACACAGCATTCCAACTGTGTGTGAACCTAGATTCAGCCAACACCTCCCCAGAGCAAGCTGTCCTGGCAGGAATGTCACTCTGACCTATGAAGTCTCAACGTGATGGCAGCTTTCTAAGCAGAACCAAAGGCTGGCTGCCAGAGTAAGTTGTCCCTTGAATCTATCCGAGTGCTGAACAGCTGCCTTGCTCAGGTGAGTGATTACAGTTCAACGATCTGGAAAAGCCGCCCCAGGACCGAGTCAGCGGGCGCCGGGAGGGTCCCGCGCCAGCACCTTCTGGAGGTGGTGCTGACTCCGGCCTTCTTCAAACACTGGCCTTCAAGTGAGTCCACAGTCAAGGTCTTTGTACCTGCAGCTGAAGGTGAAGTACTTTGTACCTGCAGCTGAAAAAGACATCATTGATTTGGAGAACTTCCCTAGAAACCTTGAGCGGTGAGAAAACTCTATAGACAAATTTGTGACTTAAGTGAAAAATGAGTCCCGAACTCAACAAAACATTCCTTTGAAACAAAAAAATAAACTATTCCTGGTTTATATCATTGCGGTGGCTCATTGTGTGTTTGACAGGACTGATGACGGGGTGTCTAGGTGTGTGTCTCAGTGTCACTTCTGCGTCTGAGCATTTAAACCGGCCGCCGCGAAGCAGGCTGAGGGGAGGCCAGGAGGGACACCAGGGGCGGGAGCCCACGCAGGCCAGGTGGCTGGTCCTGGGCCTCACACTTCAGCTGGAACGTGCTCCCCGGCTCGGGCTTGCAGGCAGCAGAGCAGGATCCAAAGTCCATCCCTCATGTAAGTCTGTCCGTCTACAGCCCATCAGTTCTGTTTCTCCAGGGAGCACCAGACAGTCAAGACTACAGTGATGGCCCGGCTGGTGTGGCTCAGTGACTGAGAATAGACCCTGCACCAAGAGGTTGCCACTTCGATTCCCGGTCAGGGCACATGCCCAGGTTGTGGGCCCGATCCCGTGGGGGGCGTGCAGGAGGCGGCCAGTCGATGTTCTCGCTCATTAGTGTTTCCATCTCTCCCTCTCCCTTCCTCTCTCTCTAAAATCAATAAAGAAAAAAAAACAAAACAAAACAACAGACGACAATGGTGGGGCAGCCTGCAGTGCTCACTTGTGTCCAAGAGAAACCTGAGCCTCACCAGTGCCCGAGTCTCTGTGACGCTAACAGATCCTGGTAGAGCTAAGGCCTGCGATAATTTAAAGCAATTTTTTTTTTATCCTCACCCAAGGACATTTTTCCATGTTTTGTTCAGATAGAGTGGGAGGGAGAGAAGGTAAGAGAGAGAAACATCGATATGAAAGGGACACATTGAGTGGCCAACCAGGGCCGGGGACAAACTGCAACCGAGGTACATGCCCTTAGCGGGAACTGAACCCGGGTCTCTGTGGACCGTAGGCCGACGCTCTAACTGCTGAGCCAAACTGGCCAGAGCTACAGTAATTTTTAATGAGGTCAACGGTAGCATCTCTGTTAGACTACAAAGCAAATCATACCCCCTGGGTCATTTTTGTAATTTGACTTGATCAGTACTGAGAAAACGAGTCCAAAATTATACATAGTGGAGCTAAAATGTACATAATCGTTCTAACACACAAACTACCTTAGTTAACTCTATCAAAATTTAGGCATGATTTAACATTCCTAAACTCTTTGGAAAAATTATCCCAGATTTCCGACGAGAGCACATTTAAAGGGCTACGTGCTTTTACACTTTCCCTCTGTTGGCGATTCACAGACGTCTCCAAACAGCCACCCCGGACCGTGTGTGAATCATCCCAGGAATGAGAACCTCACGGGGTCAAACGGGCGGAGTGAGTGCCCGATGACCATCTGCACTGATCACAAAGTCAACTTTCCCAGGTAAACTCCTTATACATGTGAGGAAAAACGGACATGATCTGTTTTTTTCATCCTTAAAATAACACAAATGGTTCTGGAAGGCAGAGGAGCAGGGGAGTCAGGAAAGTGAAGGGGAAAGGCCGCCTCCCAGACCGTCCTGCTGGGAGAAGACGAGTCAGGACACGAGAAGCATTTCAGGGTTTATTTTGAGTAAACAAGCCAGTGCACAGCACAGAAATCAGTCCTTCCTCAGGGGCACCGTCTCCTCCCGGATGCCCTCCTTGGTCACAATGCAGATCCTGAGCGCGTCCCCGGTGTACACGTCCCTCTCGGCAGCGGATATGAAGACGTCTTTCACCAGCCGCATAGCTTTGTCCAGAGACAGCGGGACGTGCTCCACATTCTGCATGTTCTTAAAGCCGACCTGGCAGGACAGGACACTGGATGAGGCATGTGGGCACCAAGGAGGGCTGAGCCCCAACCCATCTGCACACGTATGAGAGTTCACAACAAACACGTCGCACAGCTCCACAGTGTCCCACAACTAGGGCTCCCGGAGACAGAGCTGTGCCTGAGACGCCCTGTAGCCGTGACAAGGGAAGGGCGGCCACACCACTGCTGGGCTGAGGGGGAGAGGCACCAGGAGAGCCCAGGCAGCCCTGACAAAACCCTCCAGGACCACGCGCACGAGTTGGGCCTGAAGGACAAACACGTGCAGGAAGTCGGCTGTGCAGGTCTGGTGTCGAGGACACAGAGGGCACAGTGCTCCAAGGCCTGAGGAGCGGGGTGACGAGGAAGAGGTGAGCCACGGGCAGGAGTTGTGAGACATTTCACGAAAGGGAGGAGAGCGGAGCAGGGAGTGAGCTGGAGGCAGAGGAGACGTGAGAGGACACCCGCAGTGCAGCCGGTGCACCCAGGTCCGAGCTCAGTCAGCAGCAATGGAGAAGTGGTCATGTTAAAGATAAATGTGGGTCCAGCCAGTTTGGCTGAGCATCGACCCATGAGGTCGCCGGTTCAATTCCCGGCCAGGACACATCCCCAGATTGTGGGCCCGATCCCCAGTGGGGGGGCATGTGGGAGGCGGCCAATCGATGTTCTCTCTCTCCTTTTCACTTCCTCTCTCTCTAAAAATCAATAAAGGGAGAAAAAAAAATATGTGGGCCCTGGCCAGTTTGGCTCAGCGGTCACAGCGCCAGCCTGCAGACCAGAGACCTGGGTTTGGTTCCCGCTAAGGGCATGTACCTCGGTTACAGTTAGTTTGTCCCTGCCCCGGGTGGGGACGTGTGGGTGGCAACCAGTCAATGTTTCTCTCCCTCTCCCACTCTATCTGAAGATAAATTAACAAAATAAAGTGATACAGAAATGGCATCAGGGAGAAAGGTGTTTTCACAAAACTCAAGTGAAGATGGCGAGATGACAACCAAAAACATGACCGACTGCAGCCAACGTCAGAGACCTGGAAGTCATGGGGATGCAGGAAGCAGGCAGGGCAGGGCTAGGTGAGTGGTGGCAGGAGAGGCAGCAGACAGAGACGAGAAGGTCTGAGTGGGCAAGTCAGCCAAAGTCTGCAGTGATTCACAAGAAGGCCCTGACTTTCCCTCCCCCAGCCGGCGGAGGCAGACATTAGAGATCCCTTGCGGGCGCCACCACATTGGCAGCAGGCTGTTACCTGGTTGTCCAGCAGGGGCTGCAGCATGGCACTCGCTGAGCCTCCAGCCTTGAAGGAATCTCTTTGGTAGGAGCCCACCGGGTCAAAGCTGTACACAGCTCCCTTCCCTTAAAGAAGGAAACAATCTCATGAGAAACATCCTGACCCCAATTTCACGTCACGGCAAAAGGAAATGCAGGCAAAGTGTGATACTGAATGGGCTCCTGACTTAGCTGAAATTTCAGCTAAATCTCAGTGAGGAGCAGTCACTGCTGCACAGGTGACACCCAGAGCCCCCGACTCTTATCTCCACAGGGTGTCTGCCACCAGAACGCACTCTCCATGCCCACATCACCCACCTCCACCCGACTCCCAGCATGCATGTGGTTTTCCAGGCATACTGGTTAATGGTCACAGGCCCTTCTACACGCTCCTGTGAACAGCCTAGTGTACTTCAGCACAGACTGGGCTCCCTCAGGGTTAGATGTGAGCAGTCCCACGAGAGCTTGCTGTGCCTTTAAACCAAGAGTGAGCACACTCAGCATCATAAACACAGAACAGAGAAGACATCTCAGAAAAACACAGATGCCAATATGAAAAGGTTACTTTTGGCTGGTCTGGCTCAGCAGTTGGAGTGTCGACCCACAGGCCAAGGAGTCACAGGTTCGATTCTGGTCAAGGGCACGTACCTCAGTTGCAGTTCGTCCCTGGCCCTGGTCGAGTTGTGAGGGAGGCAGCCAGTTGATGTGTCTCTCTCAATCAATGTTTCTCTCTCTCTCTCTCTCTCTCTCTCTCTCTCTCTCTCTCTCCCCCCCCCCCTCTCTCCCTCCCTCCTACTCTATCTGAAGATAAATGGAAAATGTCTTTGGGTGAGGACAGACACACACAGAAATAAAAGGTTAGTTTTGCCTAAAATACAAGCACTTGGGTTGTACCAGCAGAATTAAGTACTTTTTTGTAAGAAAGACAAGATCTACCCCCCACCCCCCCCACCGGCCTGGCAGCTGCAGACTGGGAGTGGTGGGCTGTCCCGAAGCATCGCGCGGCCCAGTTTCTGGAAGAGCCGCTGGCAACAGAACCTCTCAGTGACCGCCCAGGGTGCTGCTGCGGCCGCACCTGCCACGCTCCCCAGGAGCTGTGTGTGCAGGGGAGGCAGCCCCTCCGCCAGCAAGACCATGAGTGTTTACTGCATCACTCGCTTCACTGTGGCTGGTACGGAACCCAAACTGCAACCTCTCTGAAGCCTGCTTAACACCACGGTGTGCACAAGATCCTTTCTTAGCTCTTGAGGGCAGAAACGTCTAGGCAGCCTCAACTCCATCAGCAGCACATGGCATGTCCACACAGTGACGGACAGCCTGCAAAGAGCACGGGCCTGGGAGACACGTCCAAGGACAATGCAAAGAGCCCTGTAACACGTATGGCACAGTCTGAGTTTCCTTTAAAAGTGTAACAAAATGGTGCAATGTCTGTGTGAGCACACAAAAAAGTACGGAAAGACAAACAGCAAACGGAGACTGGAGGTGAGAAGAGGCCTGTGCCTGTGCCTGTGCGTGCGTCGCAGAAGCACCCATGGGACACAGCCTGTTCAACCGCCGTGTTCTGCACACGAGAAGGGATAGAGCATTTACAAGGCGAGATTTAAAGGTGATATAACTGATTTTTTCTTTAATGTTTTAAATCCTCACCTGAGGATATTTTCCAATTGATTTTTAGATAGAATGGGAAGGAGGAAGGGGAGGAGTGAGGGAGGGGGGAGAGAAAGAGAGAGAGAGAGAGAGAGAGAGAGGAACATTGATGTGAGAGGGGTAGGTCTATTGGTTGCCTCCCATGACTCTGACTGGGGCCAGGAATCAAACCTGCACCCCAGGTATGTGCCCTTGATCGGCAATCAAACCGGTAATCCTTTGGTCCACAGGCCGACGCTCTGACCACTGAGCCAAATTGGCCAGGGCTTGTAAAAAATTTTTTCAAAAGAGTTTATTTAAACCAAACTCGTGACATGCCAGGAAGCAAGATCTCAGAATGCTCCCCATTTACAAGGCATGACTAAACAGTAATATAACTGATTTTTAAAACACACTCTACCATACCTGAACACCCTAACAAACACGATAGGAGACAGGAGATAAGGACAATCTCACTATCAATGGACAACCACCACCTTTAGCTGTGTTACTTTCTCCACTGGGACTGTGCAGAGTTCCCTGCAGAGAAGGCAGCATCTGGGGTCACTTAACGGAACCTGGGAGACTGGTTATGCTACAAGCAGCTTGGGACAAGACATGAGATCACAGCGAGAAGGTCACTAACTTCTACACAAAGGGTCATGTGGTAGAAACCCAAAAAGAACCAACGTCTCTCTCACGGGGCCAACAGGCCACAAGTAACACGAGGCCTAAAAGCATTACCCAAGAGTAAACCTCAGAAAACACACACCACAGATATGAGAAAAACAGGAGCAGGGTATGTCCAAGACCAGAACTTCAAAGACCACCTTAGAAAGGGCAGGAGACACTTGTAATATAGAACAGCGTGAATCCTGACTATAGACACAGAGTGCTTTTCCTCATTAAAATAATGCCCAAAGTGTAATAATTTCACTGTAAGAAACAAAACCAGACACATCCTAGAAGGAGCTACAGGTGAGCCTTACACGGGGGAGGCCTTTCTAACAAAGCCGGACACTCAGTGCCAAGAAAAGAAGGTGGTCAGATATGACTGCACGACACAGCCAGACACCCCAGGGGTGTCCGCAACGAAGAGTGCTCCTGGGGCGTCTACCACACACAATCCAAGGGTGGACCCAGCTGGATGGTGTTCGCATTAATCACGTAAGAAAAAGACTAACCTGCAAATGAGTAAATGAGCAAAGGTCAATGTACAAGTCAGTCTCCAAAGAAAAGATCAATAAACACGAAAAGATGCTCAGCTTCTACAAACAAACATACGCACACCAAAACAATAAAGTATGTCTTGGGTGACAATCTTTAAACTGTGCCAATGCGACACAGGGAGGACGGCCCCGCTGTGTGTGTGGTAACTCCTTTTCTGAAGGGCCAATCAGTGAGGCCATCAAACTGCAGAATAGACAGCCCCGGCTGGGAGGCTCAGTGTTGTCCTGTGCACCGAAAGGTCACCGGTTCGATTCCTGGTCAGGGCACATGCCCAGGTTGCAGGGTTGGTCCCCAGTCAGGGCACTTACGAGAAGCAACCGATGGACCTTTTTCTCTCTCCCTCCTACCTCCCTTCCTCTCTCTAAAATCAATAAAAACATAGTTTTTAAAATGCAAAAAAGATATATTCGTTGACCTAGCAACTGAAATTCTAGGAATGTTCTCCAGTGAGAGCAGCATAGTTGGATGAAGATAAAGACCATGTCGTCTGTACTGAGGGCTGCTGGGCCGACAACGCGCAGCAACACCCAGGGTCACTCCCTCAGTCACTCTGGCACCCTTGTCCCCCAACACGGAGCTCCTCTGGGAAAATGTGTCTCCTGGGCCCCACCCACCCGGACACACAGAAGCACGTCTGCCAGACATCTGACCCAGCCTCTCCATGGACAGGGTTGGTGATCACTACTTCCACCTTCACATCCTACAGTTCCACCTGAAATTTCTGCGAGTATTACCATTTTCATTACAGGAAAACTAGAGCCATCGTTAACTTTAGGGGAAAAACCTTTAAAAGACGTGACGGCAACTGGAGAGTCAAAGGCACAGAGGTCAAAGGACACAGCTCTTCACCCCCTTGTCCTGAAAGTCAGACACTGAGCCCAGTACCTGAAGGTCTCAATAGCTGCCCTGCTCCCCAGGTTCCACCTCCAGCAACACAGAGAACCGGAAAACAGGAAATGTCAGTCTCTTGAGAAGGCAGAACAGGCTGTGGGCTCACGGGCTCAGGTTGTGGGCAGAAGAGAACCAGAAGCATCAGGAGAGCTGCTGGCAGGCCAGCGCAGACCTGACAGTCACCGCTCGGGGAACGGAAGCCAAGAACAGCAACGCAGCCTCAAATGTGGAAGAGGGGCCAGAAACAAACAGCATAAAAATAAAAATCAATGTGAGAAAATGCAGAGAAAGCAAGAAAACTTCAAAGGAAATACAAAAAATAAAATTAAAAAATCAAACAAGAACAGGATACTTTAAAAAAAAAAAAAAAAAGGAGACTAGAAAATAGAAAAGGAGAGCCCTGGCTGGTTTGGCTCAGCAGTGGGAGCACTGGCCTGCGGACCAGAGAGTCCCGGGTTCGATTCCTGCTAGGGGCACGCACCAAAAAAGAAAATAAAAAAAGAGAGTTGGTGGAGAAGGTGGAGAAAGAGACACAATAAATGAGAAGACATTGGACAGGGATTTCAGAACCCAGGATACAAAATAGTACTAAAAGCAAAGCCTCAAAAAAGGTCTCCTGATTTTGTCCCCCAGAAATCTGTCGGGAGATAAAGCAAGAAGAGGGAAGCGTCGGTCAGAGATGAGGGCTGCCTGGAGGGTAAAATTCTCTAAGAAACAGAAACTACTTTAAGGAGCCACCAAAGGAAACCGGACAAGATCAGAGAAGAGTTAGAAATGCCTGCGACACCACAAGGAACATGTCACATGGGAACCAGAGAACAGACCTGAACCACACAGGCCAGACCCTCGCCCTGCACCCAGCAGGTGTGAGCCGTCCCAGGTCAGCCTGACTCTCGAGGGAGCTCAGGACCTTACCTGCCCTGCTGAGATTCATTTCTAGGCCTTGCATTTTCTCTTAGTTTTCAAGGAAGGTTGAAAGCCTAGAAACTGCCACCTGTCTGCTGCAGGGAACTGTGGCAGGTGAGAGAGCAGAAGGCTCCCAGGGCCCAGTTACGGGCAGCAGCCTGTGGGGCAGGGCGGACGTGAGCACTGGAGAGTAGGGAGCGAGAAGAGCCTGACCCCTCCCTACCTCAAGTTTACCCTCAGATAACAGACTTCTGTCACTGACACTGCCCTCACCCAGATGCTTCTGTGACTTCTGTTCACAATGGACGACTTGATGGTGGCTCAGGTCTGTCCCGAGAGGCTCTGCTTGGTTTACTGAACCGACCAAAGGCAGCACAGGTCAGACCTGGCGAGAAGCATCAAGCTGAGCTGAGTGGCACGAGGAGGAAACGTCCTAGTCTGATGGACGCGTTCCTTCTAAAACATCACTATTCAAAACCTTCTGATGTCAAGTAAGTTTGTCAATAAACTGTCATTGGGTTAAACTACTCCAGGTCAGATTTCTTTTTCAAGATTAAAATGCTAATTATTGCCCTGACCAGTTTGGCTCAGCATTGGCCTGTGGACCAATGGGTCTTGGGCTCAATTCCCAGTCAAGGGCATGTGCCTGGGTTGTAGGTTTGATCCCTGGCCCCAGTTGGGGTCATGTGGGGAGCCAACCAATCGATGGGTCTCCCTCACACTGATGTTTCTCTCTCTCCCTAAAAAAAAAAGGAAAAGTAGCCCTGGCCGGTTTGGCTCAGCGGTTAGAGCGTCGGCCTGCGGTCCGGAGAGACCCAGGTTCGGTTCCTGCTAAGGGCACGTACTTCGGTTGCAGTTTGTCCCCGGCCCTGGTTGGTCGTGCGGGTGGCAGCCACTCGATGTGTCCCTTTCACGTCGATGTTTCTCTCTCTCTCTTCCTCTCTCTCCCTCCCACTCTATCTGTACAAAAATTGGAAAAATGTCCTCGGATGAGGATAAAAAAAAAAAAAAGGAAAAGTAGCCTTGGGTGAGGATTAACAACAACAAAAGCTAAATTATCTACTCTTGAACTGATGTGAGATCTCGAGAAAACAGGAGAACAGTGGCTGCCGAACACGCACTGCTAGAGCTCTGAACACCACCTGCTGTCTCTGGATTCCCTTTATTTCCCTTTTAGCTTCAGTCTCTTCGCTGCTTGAATTATGAGAAACGAAAATGTCAGGCAACTTGGTCTTCTTTTCAACTCTAGATGAAAACACATGCACCTAAGAAGTGCCGGCCCCTCGGTTTCCACGAAGAGCGAGCTCTACCTTCTTCATCGAGTCCCCCGATGATGTTGTACACGTAGTATGGAAAGAAGCGCCTGGAGTAGAGGATGGTGGACAGCATCGCAGCGATCGCCCCCGTGGTCATGGCCTTGTTATTGGAATGCTTGTACATCTGTGATATTGACAAAAACAACACACATGTAGAGGCAGAATACATCACAGGCTAGAACAATGAACAGCAGAGTAAAAAGAACAATGAACAGAGAAGTGCATTACCTTGGTGAAATGTTTCTTTCAAGATCAAAACATACAGTATTACTAAGGTAAAATAGGAATTCATCATACCCTATCATTTTGGGGGCAATAAGAACTTTTAGAGGAATGAAAACTAAGTTTGCCCTCCAGTATCTGGTTTACAGACTCTTTTCCACATGATCCTTATCGCAAGACAAGGACACAAACTGTGGAACAAATGCTCACTAATGGGCAGAGGTGACCCAGCTCTTCACTCTGCATCTAGACCAGGGTCAGCAAACTGCAGTCATAGGCCAAATCCAGCCCCCGACCCAACCTGTATCGGCTCTACTGGCACAGTCTCTCCCATCACTACATCCTGCCTGCGTCTGCTTCTGAATTTATACAGCAGAGCTGAGCAGTTGCCACAAAGACCCAGCAACCCACAATGTTGAAGAGTTGCCATCTGGGCCTTTGTGGAATGTGCTGACTCCAGGTCAGACTCAGGTGGAGGGCCCTCTGCATAGCAGTCACCTGTGAGAACAGAGGGGCCGCACTCTCACGAGCGGGACTCCAGGACAGGGCAGTGGTCCTGCTGCTCCTGAAAGCATCTACAGTGGAGGACAGAAGTCTCCAAAACAGGATCTTATTCAGTGATTTTCAATCCTACATTTATTTCACCCTTGGGAACCCTAACTTACCTACTGACTGAGGAATCCTACAAAAATATCAAACATGCCCTGCCGCTGTTGCTCAGTGGTTAGAGCACCGGCCCACACACTGAAGATTTGTGGGTTCCATTCCAGGTCAAGGGCATGTGCCCAGGTTGCAGGTTTGATCCCCGGCCCAGGCGCATGTGGAGGTAACCAACTGATGCGTGTCTCTAACATCGATGTTTCTCTCTCCCTTCCACTCTAAAAATCAATAGAAAAAATATCCTTGGGTGAGGATTAACCACCCCCCGCAGAAGCTAACATAAAACAAACGTAAGTCCCCCAATTTGTCAGCCACATCATCACTGAACACCACTAAAAAGAAATCTAAGAAATACTATGAAATCATACAGTAACAAAAAACCGAAGAAACACCAGAAATGAACTATGAGTAATAGATAAACCAATCAGTGCTTAGAAGTTCTCTGAAGGTAAAAGTCATAAAAACAATTTTTTTTTCTTAATCCTCACCCAAAGATATTTTTTCACAGATTTTTAGATAGAGTGGAAAAGAGGGGGTGGGGTGGGGGGAGGGAGAAACACTGATATCAGACACATGAATTGGTTGCCTCCCACGACTCTGACTGAAGCTAGGGATCGAACCTGCAACCCAGGTATGTGCCCTTGACCGGGAAGCGAAACTGTGACCCTTTGATCCGAAGGGCAACACTCTAACTGCTAAGCCAAACCAGCCAGGGCCATAAAAACTTCTGAATTTCATTTCATTTCAAAACCAAGCACCCTTTATTCACCTCGCCGTTTATGTAATAACGTAAATTATTACACTTCAGGAAGGACTGTGCACTAAGCAGAACTCACTGATTGTTTTATATTTAACAAAACAGCTCTCCCTGTCATTTCTTTTTTTTTTGTCCTCAAAGTTCCATTTATGAAATATGCATTAGAAACCATACATGGCCTCCTCAGAAAGGTCCTCTACCGCCGAGACCAGACACGCGGGTCTGCTGTGGGTTCACGTTCTGCTGAACCCACGTATGCACAAGCCAGTCTCTCCAGTGACTTGTGCCTCTAGCTATTCTGGGCAGCAGCCGTGCTGTGTGCTTAAGAGTCTAACAAGGGCCCTGGCTGGTTTGGCTCAGTGGTAGAGCGCCGGACTGTGAACCGATGGGTTGCAGGTTTGATTCTGGCCAAGGGCATGTACCTTGGTTGCGGTTCATCCCCGACCCTGGTCGGGGTTGCGAGGGAGGCATCCAGTCGATGTGTCCCTCTCACGTCGATGTTTCTCTCTCTCTCCCCTTTTCTCCTTCTCTCTCCTCCCCACTCTATCTGAAGATAAAGAGAAAAATATCCTCAGGTGAGAATAAAAGAAAAAAAAGAGTCTGACAAGGTATTAACTCCAACAGTCAGACCTGTAAATGCACCTACCTTTAGTCTTGCTTCAATAATCTTTGTCAGGGTAAGACAGTCTCCATGGAAACCGCTGCATCCAATGACTGTTTTGTCTGTTCTATAAAACACACATTTTGGGAAACTGAGTTGGTAAGACATTAAAGCAAAACGTGTTGGGCAATTTTAAATTTAAAACTCACATCGCCATTATTCACTGAACGGCACTGGGACAACTACTTAGCCCGTCTTTGGAAGAAGGAGGGAATACCTGTAATCTACCTAATCCCTTACACCAGATAAATTACAGATGAATCAAACATGTAAAGAAATAGTGGAACTGAAAAGACTGAAGTAAATATAGGTAAATGTTACTTTATAATCTAGGGTGGAGGGCAGCTGATACAAATACGCTACAACACAGTCCACAGGAAAGTCCCATGTGTTTGACCACATAGAAAACATAATTTCTACAAAGAAAACCACAAAGTCAAAGAGAAAAAACTAAGCAAATACACTGATAATCTAATTTTTACTTCTTTAGTCTACAAAGGGTTCTACAATTAGAAATAACAGTAACGCTGCAATGGATCATGGGGTGTTAACATGCAGCATGGTGACTGTAGTTGATACTGTATTCATATTTGAAGATTGCTAAGAGAGATCTTTTATAAAAGTTCTCATTAAAGCCCTGACTGGTTTGCTCAGTGGTTAGAGCGTCGGCTCAGGGAACAAATAATTGTGGGTTCGATTCCAACCAAGGGCATGTAACTCGGCTGCGGTTTGTCCCTGGCCCTGGTCAGGGTCGCACGTGTGGCAAGCGGTCGATGTGTCTTTCTCACATGGATGTTTCTCTCTCTCTCTCCCTCCCGCTCTATCTGAAGATAAATGCAAAAATGTCCTCAGGTGGGGACTAAAAAAGAGTGTACATGGCAGGGGGCAGATAAATAAACAAACATTTAGCCCAGTGTGCCTCGACCGGTTGAGTATTATCCTATGCACCAGCAGGTTGCCAGTTTGATTCCCGTGGACCAATGGATAGAAAGACAGAAAAATATGATAATTATATAAAACGGTAGTAAGATCTAGATGGTAGTACATAGCTGTTCACCACAAAATTTTACTTCTGTTATATATTTAAATTTTTTCAGGACACGATATTGAGATAAAAATATTTAGGTTATGAAAACCACAGTTGGTACCAAGATATGGCAAATACCATCATGACTGCATATTAAATTATTAGGAAATAGTAATTTAGAAAATTGTTTCCTAACAGAAATGCAAGCTAAGCTCCAAATAGGCAATCTAAAAATTCATGAAACACAGTTTAGAAGTTAAATCTCTTGTGACATTAAATTATCACAAGGCACCCTGTCTTTAGAAATTTACTTACAATTTGTAACATTTGGGGCTGTCCCGGGTATGGATTGAAAACCCTTCACTCAATCGAGTATCAGAAGCAACAATTGAAAAATCTTCTCCAGCAATTGCAAGTACAGTACTGAGGAAAAAAGAAAGACAAAAAAAATTAATGTCTTCTTCTGGAGGGTAAACAAGCCTCACCCAATGGAAGCGTGCCCGACCCCTGCGATGTGAGTTCCACAACAGAGCAAGGCACACATGGTTTCCCCGTGCACAGCAAGTTATGTTTACACTACACTGTAGTAAGTGTGCAGTGCCAGTATGCATTAAGACAACGCCCATACCTTAATTTAAAATACGTTTTTGCTAAAAAATGCTAACCATCACCTGAGCCCATTGTGAAAAGGGCCCTCACAGACTTGCTCCATGCAGGGTTGCCACAAACCTTCAATTTGTAAACAAAACAAAACAACCAAAAAAACACATCACCTGTTAGCACAGTGAAGTCCAACAACAGGAGGGGTACAATCCCTCCAACAGGACAGAAAAAAACCACTGCACAGCACCAGGATAAAATCACTGAATGAGTAACAGCAGGATTCAGACAGAGGAGGAAAGACCAGGAAAGGATCTCTGGCTACAAGTCATCTGGAAAAACACCAAGAGCTCCCTGAAAACAGAACTCTACAGCACAGCCAAGGTTCTCTAGCAGGAGGTAACAGAAGTGTCACTGAATTATCATCATTATCAAAAAATTAAAGACCTACTTTGTGCAAAGTGCTGATATTGCAAAACAGCCACAGGCCATGGCCCTGCCCCCGGGTGTCAGGTGTAGACAGTGGCACCACAGTGCAAGTTACCTGAGCTCAGAGAAGATGGGGCTGGGTCTTGCATTTCTAGCACTCAGTAGACACCCAAATAGCTGTTGAAATTGAATGAACAAAGGACAAAGTTGTATGATTCACGATGGCAGCTTACTGAAGAGGCCTACAGCATGAACTCCTAAAGCAGACTGTCCAGGTTCTAAGCCTGACCCTCCCACTTTGCAGATTTTGGACTGTGGGTAAGTTCCTTAACTTCTCAAAGCGTCAATGTCCTCATATGTAGATCAGAGATCATACAGTAGCTGCTTCCTTTCAGAGTGTTACAAGGATTAAATGAGTTAGTAATTGTAAAGCCCTTAGAGTAGTTCCGGAACATAACTGCTCCTCCAGAGTGTTCACTGAGCACCTGGGCTCTGCAGTTTCCTGAGGCCTGATCTTGCCACTTAGCTCTGTGACCTTGGACAAATTATCCAGGTTCAGGCTGATAAGTTTCTGTGTTACAGGGTGACCACGATAGTTAAATGACACAACTCACATAAAGCACCCAGAAAACTCTAGCCACTCTTTTACCGAGAAGGGATGTGCACCAAAGCTCTGAAGCACTCACGGACAGCTTCTCAGATATCACTGAGGATGAATAAAAGAAAACGGGCCACAGTTCAAATAAACAGTCAAACAACTTATGCAGGTGTCCCTTTACATGTAAGCAAGAGCAGGGACAACAAGCTTATGTGATGGACGGGCCCGACTGTAAAAAATATCCCAAATGCTAAACTAAAGATTTTAGTATGTTAGTGAGAAACCATAAAGGTTATGTGAGCAACAATGAGAAAAGTTTCATCTGCGAAGTGGAGTTTTAATCACACATGTGAAATGTGTGTGACAATCACACATGTGAAATGGGATGGAAACACTTAGACGGATGCAATAGAGGGTAGCAGTGTGAATAGAAATGGTTAAGTCCAAAACACAAACACATAAGCTGTAGAAGTTTTCATAATTTTGGTATATTTTAAATTTGGACGAACATCGTGACACCTAATAATTAAGAGTGTAAAGGAGAGCTGACTGAGGGATCATTAGCTTGTTTTTATCTTAATATCTTGAATTACTGAAGTAAAAGCGAGAGCAGAACCATTTTTACTTAAGAAGCCAGAACTGAGAGACTCATGAGAGGTGAAACTGGAGAAACAGATTTGGGAATTGTCCGCCCATGAATGAGACAAGTGAGTGTTGAGTGACAAACATGGAGGCCAATGACTTGCAGTTTAACCACATTTCAAGAATTAAAATCGAAAAAGATATAGAAGCAAGCCTTACTCTGCATTAGCAAAGGCTGCCCAAGAGCCAGCAGCAATAAATGCTACAGAAAAGAACAAAGACTGAGAAAAAGATAATTTAGTTTAAGAATCAGGAAGTCCGCCCTGGCCAGCTTGGCTCAGTGGTTAAAGCATGGGCCTAACGAGTCCCAGGTTCGATTCTGGCCAAGGGCATGTACCTCGGTTGTGGTTTGTCCCCCGCCCCGGTTGGGGTCATGCGGGTGGCAACTGGTTGATGTGTCTCTCTCACGTCGATGTTTCTCTCTCCCTCCCATTCTGGCTGAAAATAAATGTAAAAATATCCTCAGGTGAGGATTAAAAAAAAAAGAATCAGGAAGTCATAAGTAGCTAATTTTTAAGGCAGCAAAGGCTTAATTGGGGTTAAAAAGTGAGTAATGAGCCCTGGCCAGTTTGGCTCAGCGGTTAGAGCGTCGGCCTGCGGTCCGGAGAGACCCGGGTTCGGTTCCCGCTAAGGGCACGTACTTCGGTTGCAGTTTGTCCCCGGCCCTGGTTGGTCGTGCGGGTGGCAGCCACTCGATGTGTCCCTTCACATCGATGTTCCTCTCTCTCCCTTCCTCTCTCTCCCTCCCACTCTAGCTGTACAAAAAATGGAAAAATATCCTCGGGTGAGGATAAAAAAAAAAAAAAAAAAAAGTGAGTAATGAGTACTGAACACTCAACAACTTGAACAGTCTTATCATAAAGAATTCTCAAATGCCTTATGAAATGGGTCTAATAACCATCTTGCAACATAACTACCTCATCAGTTGTCACAGAAAGTGCTAGAAGTGAAAGACTAAAAGCATAAACTCAGTGGCAACAGAACTATGGATTCAAGTCCTGGCCGAGGTCACATTAGTGCTGTGACTGGAGCCCAGGTTCGTTGTAAAAATGGGGCTAATACCATCTAACACCCAGGTATCCGTGAGGATTAAAAAAGATAACTGCTTGCGATGTACAAAATGCTTGCTTCTCCTCCCAAACTCTGAGGAGCCGAGGAAGAGAAGGGCAGTGTGTTAAAAAAGTGCGGAGGCCCCATTGCCCTTCAGTGGCCGAGACAAGGATAAAATCACACCTTCCACTCTCCTTCCAACACTTCCCAAAAATATGCGTCGATAACCCAAATCCAGAAGGCCTGACTAAATAACCTGTCTCAACCCTCGGTGGCACGCTTTGAGTTCGGCCTGGTCGGTGCACTGTAACCACTGCCTCCGTGCACAGCTGCCAAGGTCCTTGACAGCATCTTCCCACAGCCCCAAGGCTTCTAGTGGGTGGGTAGAAGGGAAAGTGCCACTTCACGTAAAGCTGTCTTTTTTAAAAGGACAACCTAAAAGTAACATGCCAGGCAAACATTTTTACTTCTTCTGAGTAATTTTTCCCGACTTCAAACTACACCTTAAAACAAGCGCTTATCTATGAAATGGAGCCTGGTCAACTAACCCTACTTTCTACCTAAAATGACAGCAAACGACTAAGCAGTTTGATCGGCCTTTTTGGCTACAACGAGGCACCTACGTACGAGGACCGAACCACCCTCCCGCTTTCGCTTCCGACGCAGACCTGCCCTCGGCGCGGCTGCCCTTCGGGAGGCTCCCCGAGCAGAGGCCGGGCTTCGCCGCCCACCTGGGCCTCGCTGCACACCCGCCGTCCGCACCCATTCCCAAGCGCCCGGCCGGGAAGGCGCCGCTGGGAGCGCGAGGCTGCCCGCCACGCTCGGAGGCGGAGGCCCGCCGCGACACCGCGCGCGAGCCGGGGTCGGGGGGGACGCGGTCGGGGCCTCACCCTCCGTTGAACGCGTAGGGCGAGAAGCGCAGCTGCACGGGGCCGGCGCTGTGCGGCTCCATCGCCAGGTCTCGGCGGGGGCCCCAGGACACGGCTGCGGAGGACAACATTGTCGGCATCCGCTCCTGCTGTCTCACGGCGAGATGGCGGCCCAGCCGGAAGTCGGAAGTCGGAAGTCGCACCACTTCCGGCTGCCGGCGGCGCTTCCTCCCGTCGCCCCGGCGCGCGCAGGTGCCGGGCTCTCATCGGTCCGCGTACTCCAAGAAAGCTGACGGACATGTCAGGGTTTTCTCCCTTAAGACAGCATTCCAATTCATTCTTGATGGGCAACAGTTTTAAAGTCTGACCATACAGAAAAGTTGGCAATGCTATCGAGCAACGGGAAGTCGAGGCGTCTAACGTCGGTGCAGCGGTGTTGGGAAAGGGGGCTGACACCGCCCGCATCCTTGAGGAGGTGCACACCTGAGGCCCGGCAGTGCCCTCCCAGGTGTGCACTCCGCCAGAGTGTGCAAGAATGTTCCTTCCCACCGCCGCGAGCTGGAAGAGCTAATGTCCATACACTGCGGGGTATGTCACGGAAAGAACGTGATCCCACGTCCGCGAGGGATGGTCTTACGTCAGAATACACGCTACTACCAGGAGGACCAGATAACCATCTGTCGCTCTGGGCGTCTGTGTATTCACTTCCTCATACGAATAGTCTATTTTACAATTCTTTAAAAGTTTTTCTGAAAACGCACCAAGAAACTGAGGCGGGGAGGCAGGTGACTTGCCAAAGGTCACACCGAGACTCGGCTTAGAAATCAACCTCCGCCTACTTCCAGCAACGACCAATTAGCAGACGCGGACCCGTGGCCCCGCCCCGGAACTCCTGACTCGCCCCGCCCCGCCCGCATTCCTTTCAAACGGATTCTCCCGGGAGACACCGGAAGTGACGGACGCCCATACTTCCCAGGGCCGCGGCTCCGGCGCCGGCCGCTCGCTGAAGCCAAGCGCAGAACTGGCGGAAGTGACACTATAAGTGCGCGCCGGGCGGCGGAGAGGGTCGGGAGGGTCGCCGTGGCGGGCGCCTGGGCCGCCGGCCGTCTGACTTGGTTTTCGCAGGTGGGCGCTGCTGTCCGTGGCGACTCCAGGTAACCGGCGCGGAGGCTCTTCCTCCCCTCTGAGGCCCGGGCGGGGCGACCCCTGCGGCGAGGCGGGGGAAGAGGGCGGGAGGAGGCGGGCGGGCGCGCGGGCCGCGCGGGACCACTGCCCGCTCGAGCCGCCGCCGCCCCCGCCGTACCGGCTGCCCCGGCGCGGCCTCCGTGTGGCTCGAAGCGGGTCCCGAGGCGCGGGGCCGGGTCCCCTTCCTGCCGCCGGCCCTCCTCGTCCTCTCAGCACTTCTGTGGTGACAGGGTAACCGCGTCCGAGAACCAGCTCCCCCTGCGCCCTGACACTGCCCCGAGCGGGCTCCGTGTTCACGTGGGGCCGGTCTTCGGGGTCTGTGGTCTCCGGCCCTCGTCCTCCGGGGCCCTCGGGCTGCCGTGCGCTCGGCAGGTGCGTGTGTGCGCCGCAGCGGCACGGGCTCGGAGCCGTGGGTTTTCCCTTGCAGCCGCGACCCCGAGTCCGGCGAGAACGCCCTGTGGCGGACGGTGTTTAAACTGGCACCTGGTTAGTAGCACACGCTGGCCCTGTGCGCCCACCCGGGCTGTGTGCTCATCTCGGAGCCCTGCGAGATTCCGTCGCTTCCCACAGCAACGCGGCCCATCCCAACCGAACCGAACCCGGCCTTTGAGCAGGGTCGCCTGGTTCTTTTGTCCAAGAGGTAGTTCAAATGTCCAGCCAACAAAAAAAATAGCGATTTAGGGAAAACCAGATACAGACACACTTTGCAGTTCTGTGTCCTGAAGAGGTAGAGGTGTTACATAAACAACGTAGTGTCGGGACAGCTTCTGTCAGTGCTTCGTTAAAACAGGAGCTCAATCAGTGATCCCACTAAAGTGTATAGGATCCAATTAAATGTTTATTGAACCTAACGCCCAAGACATCAGAGGTATAAAGGGGATTGGAACATGTGAGAACCTGAAGTTGGGCTAATAACGCTGTGTATACAGTGCTTAACCAGTATTTCTACTGAGACATAAAGTTTGCTTGGGAATTTGTTTTCTCTGGATATTTCCCCCCCAAAGTTTTCAGTGTTAATTATGACACCTTAATTTTGAACATTACGAGTGTTTAAATGAAACGTGTCACAAAATAATTTTTTCCTGTTGGCAGTTTTGCATACAGTCATAGCAAACATGGAAGGAATAATGTTCAGCATTATAGATAAGAAGTGTATTCCAAAATAGCTTCATTTTGGAGTTTTGTGCACGTGTGTATGTGTAACTATGAAACGGATTTGTAACATTGTATAGCTTATCTGTATTCTCACATAAAACTTCAAACTTTTCAGAGCAACATCACTGTCTTGGTGTGAGGATAACCCAGACTGCTGAGGAAGTTGCTAAGAAGTGTGCTGGGGATGCTCCGTGGAAAGTTTGAATGCTGAGGCTGCTCCAGTGCAGAGGCTGTTGACTTGCCCAGAAGAAAGCGATCGCCATGGATCAGAACAACAGCCTGCCACCCTATGCTCAGGGCCTGGCCTCCCCTCAGGTAACAGCATCTGTTGTTGAAAATGGGTTTGTATTCCTTAAACCTTTCATATCTTGTGAAGGTCTCCTAGGCTTTGAATAGGCATGCTGGTATATAATTTGGGGAGTCTCCTTGGAAGCTAAATAAAACATGTATTTGTTTCTAAAAACTTTTTTTATCCTCACCCAAGGACATTTTTCTATTTTCTGTTCAGATAGAGTGGGAGGGAGAGAGAGGAAGAGAGAGAGAGAGAAAGGGAGAGAGGGAGAGAGGGAGAGAGAAAGAGAAACATCGACGTGAAAGGGACACATCGAGTGGCTGCCACCTGCACGACCAATCAGGGCCGGGGACAAACTGCAACCAAGGTACGTGTCCTTAGCGGGAACCAAACCTGGGTCTCTCCGGACCGCAGGCCGACGCTCTAACCGCTGAGCCAAACCGGCCAGGGCTGTTTGTAAAAACTTTTGATAAACACTTACAATGCTGTTCCAAGTGATTACTATACAGGGTCTTTGATTTTAAAGTGGCCCTTATCAAATTATTTTCTAGTTCAACTTTTCTTTTTCATGTTTATGGTTCCAGATAACTTATCTGCTTTTTGAAGTTTTAAATAATCTCTGTTGAGGTATAATTTACAAACAATAACAACACTAACTTTAAGAGTATATTTTGATAATTACATACCCCTGGATAAGTTACAGGACTTTCCAAATACCTAAAAAATTTCTTCCTGCCCCTTTGTGGTCACTCCCCTACCCTAGGCAATGACCCATCTGCTATCCAGAGCTATAGGGAGTTTTGCCTAGTCTAGGATTTTGTGCAAATGGACTCCTATCAGTTTGTATGTTCTGTATGTCTGTCTTCTTTGCCGAACATGTTTCTATATTGCAAATTCCTTCTTACTGCCATTCATTGTGTGGATGTACCACATTTTACATTATCCTTCTTCAGTTGCTGATGTTGGTATTCCCGTGGACAGAGGTGCTGTAAACATTGTGTACGTGCTTTGTTTCCTGTGCTTTTATTTCTCTGGGGTGAATACTTAGGCATGAGGTTGCTAGGTCATAGGGTCAGTATATGTTTATCTTTATACAGAAGTCCCACCAGCAGCATATGAGAGTTCTGGTTGCTCCATATCCTCACCAACACTGCACAGTTTATACTCTTAGCCATTCTAGTGGTTGCTGAGTAGTAGTTGTGGTTTTAATTTGCATTTTCCTGATGACTAATGATCTTAAGTATTTTGTCAAGTGCTTATCATCCATTTGTCATTTCTAAATGTTCTTCAAATTTTTGCCCATTTTTGTTGGTTTATTCATCTTTTATTGCCATGTAGGTCTGTGGGTACAGTCATCCCCACTTTCCATGGGGGACATGTTCCAAGACCCCCAATGGATTCCTGAAACTATGGGCAATACTGAACCCTATATATACAAAGTTTTTCCTGTACATAGAAACCTATGATAAAGTCTAGTTTATAAACTAGGCACAGGAAGAGATTAACAACAATAACTAATCATAAAATACAACGTTGATAACAGAATGCTGTAAGAAAAGTTTTGTGACTACAGCCTCTCTCAAAATATCCCACTGTGCAGCACATACAGCGTGGAGATGCTGGGCAGAGGGATGGTCCACGCCCCTGTGGGTGAAACGGGATATGAGAGTCCATCACCCTGCTCAGAACTGCACCCAAAGTAACTTAGGAATTGTTTATTTCTGGAATTTTCCATTTAACATGTTCTGACTGTGGCTGCCGGGGGTATCTGAAAGCACAGAGCCAGGGATGACTCTTCCGGGCGCACCCCCCCCCCGCCCCCAGAGGTGTGCTCTGCAGGTGCTGTCTCCCCTTCTGAGGCTCACTAGTCTCAGCTTTTCCTTTTAATTTTTAATTTTCTTGGTGGTGTCTTTTGGAGAGTAAAAGTTCTTCATTGTTTTCTGATCACTTTGTCAGTGTTGCTTCATGGTTTGTCTTTGTGTCCTGTGTGAGAAATCTTTGCCTACCTGAAGTCCTAAGGTGTTTCTCTGCGTAGGTCTTGATTTTACAGGTCTGTCTGTCAATTAGTTTTAGCTCATTTTTATGTACGGCATAAAGAGAGGCAGATCTTTCAAAACCTTTGTCTCAGTCTTTTTTTTTTTTTTTATTTTTTTTTTTTATCCTCACCCGAGGATATTTTTCCATTTTTTTTGTATAGATAGAGTGGGAGGGAGAGAGAGGAAGGGAGAGAGAGTGAGAAACATCGACGTGAAGGGACACATCGAGTGGCTGCCACCCGCACGACCAACCAGGGCCGGGGACAAACTGCAACCGAAGTACGTGCCCTTAGCGGGAACCGAACCCGGGTCTCTCCGGACCGCAGGCCGACGCTCTAACCGCTGAGCCAAACTGGCCAGGGCTGTCTCAGTCTTTTTAAGTTAGTGTGACTTGCATGTTTTCTAGCCAGTGTTTTTATAGGAGCGAGTGGTTGATGCAGTGGGATAACGCCTATATTTGGGGCCACAGTGTGTGGTTGGTCCTCCTCTCCTGTTCTCTCAGCCACCACATTGATAAGAAAGTTCGACATAAATATTTCACACGTTTCCAGTTTTTGCCTTCTGCCAAATAAAGGGCAGAAGCAGGAAAGGTTGTGGCTCTTTTTTGGGTCTTGCACCCATTAGAAATCTAATGAAAACTGGATCCCTCTGTGCAGAAATTTCAGGTGTGGTTTTAAGAGGTTCACAGCCATAACAAGCTCTGCAGGCTTCCCTGCCTTTGTGGATTTAGGTGGTGGGAGAAGATTGTACTGGGCTTTGGGAAAATTTGGTTTTGATCTTGGCTAATCTGCCAATAAGGTCTGTGGTCTTGGGCAACTCATTTAAGTGTTCTTGGTGTTAGTTTTCTGCTTTAACATGGGAAGAAGAGCATGGGTTTCCCTTTCCCAAAGGGCTGTGGTAAGACTTAGGACAATTAATAAATGTCACAATATCTGGAAACACTTAGAAGCAATGTAGAAAATGAAGTTGATATTCTGATAAAGGCATTGGATTTTATTGAGTTAACCTCTTTGGAGAGCAGTGATTAACCTTTTTCAGTAGTATTCGAATAATCATCATTATCATTGCTAACACTCATTTGTTTTCTATGTGCCTGTCATGTTGGATGCTGTAAGTGGATCTCTCTAGGGTAACCATGTAATTTATCATCCAAATTTGAAACAGGGTGCTGCCCAGATAGTATGCAGGGTAATAGTTTAAAGAAGGATGTGTGGTCACTCCAGTGATCTCCATGATTTTTTGTAACTATCTTAGGGCATTATCATCTCGTAGATATTCCTGAAGAGTTAAACGGCTTCCTTAGGTTCTCACATGTAATAGTAGCAGAGTTGGATTTCACACCCAGGTCCAATTCCAAATCCGGAGCTCTTACCTGCTATGTTATGGTAACAAAGAAGGTGATGTGTGTAAGAACAGCAAGTTCCTCCCTATTATTGCTTCATAACTGCATTTATACTAGAAGGCGACTGTCTTTATACATCTCACCTGTTCTCTCACCAGGCAGCACCAGCCAGCCTAACCCACGTTCTCCTGTCTTTCCATAGGGCGCCATGACTCCGGGAATCCCTATTTTTAGTCCAATGATGCCGTATGGCACAGGGCTGACTCCACAGCCCATTCAGAACACCAACAGTCTTTCCATTCTGGAGGAGCAGCAGCGGCAACAACAGCAGCAGCAGCAGCAGCAACAGCAGCAGCAGCAGGCTGCAGTGACAACAGTGACGGCCACAGTGCAGCAGTCATCATCCCAGCAGGCGACTCAGGGGGCCTCAGGACAGACACCACAGCTCTTCCACTCACAGACTCTTACGACTGCACCCTTGCCGGGCACCACGCCCCTGTACCCCTCGCCCATGACCCCCATGACTCCCATCACACCTGCCACACCGGCCTCTGAGAGCTCGGGGATTGTGCCACAGCTGCAGTGAGTACTTGTGTTGTGTCCTGTTGCTGCCCTGGAGGGTCCTTTGGAGAATGCTTCTGTTCCTTGTTTTCAGAGGGATCCATGAGTCTCAGTGTGTGGCAGTAACCGTGATCCTGAATCTCAGTTTTCTGTGTCTCACTTGAGAAGGGAAGCAGAGCTGTGAGTCGCCCTTAGTAAAAAGCTCTCACATTTTTAGAAATTGGTAGCTTGTGTTTACACACTTGGACCAGTGAAATCCCGTTTGCATGCATTGCTGTTATAGACAAGCCTGATGCAGTCTCCTTCCCTTGGGATATTTCGGTCTTTGGTAAGATTAGGTACTTAGTCATGGAATTAGTATAGTTCACAGTGGTCCTTGTTTTTTTTTGGTTGTTTTTTTTTTTTTTGGTTACTACAAGGGCTGCATATAAGTCTTTGAGGGCTGTGTCTTTCACACAAGCTGAGGGTGGCTGTTCTTGCCCTGAATGAATTTTTCCAGCTCAGTGAAATGGTCCTGTATGTGACAGCATTGGGGGAGGAACATGAAATCTTCGTACAGTGTGCAGGGAGTGTTGAATGGGTATGGAATCCAAGGGGTGGACGGTGGTGACGGCTGCACAGCACTGTGACTGTCTTAGACACCACTGAGCCATACACCTACAACTGGTGAACATGCTAAATTTTGTTATGTGCATCTCAAGGCAAAAAGAGAACTAAGAATACATCGAAGCCCTGGCCAGTGTAATTCAGTGGTTAGAGTGTCGTCCCATGTACCCAAGGGATGTAGGTTTGATTTGCAGTCAGGACATGTACCCAGGCTGCAGGTTCAATCTCCATTCTGGGCGTGTGTGCGAGGCAACTGACTGATGTTTCTCTCTCACGTCGATGGTTTTCTCTCCCCCTCTCCCTGTCTCTAAAATCGATGAAAAACATATCCTTAGGTGATGATTTTAAAAAAAGATACATTTGAAAGTTATATGACTAAATGTGTGATAGATACACCAAAATTTACGTGATTGAGTTAATAGGACAAAAGTTGCAGACAAGCCCTGGCCGGTTTGGCTCAGTGGTTAGAGCGTCGGCCTGCGGTCCAGAGAGACCCGGGTTTGATTCCCACTAAGAGCGCGTACCTTGGTTGCAGTTTGTTCCCGGCCCTGGTTGGGTCGTGCGGGTGGCAGCCACTCGATGTGTCCCTTTCAAGTCGATGTTTCTCTCTCTCTCCCTTCCACTCTATCTGAACAAAATATGGAAAAATATCCTTCGGTGAGGATAAATAATAATAATAATAATAATAAAAAGTTGCAGACAGGCATGTATTGAAGTTGATTGGAAGGAAATAGGAGTGTGGAGATGAAAACATTCATTGAGTTGACACCCTAAGTTGGGCGCACAGCTGTGCACTGAGGAAGACAGCCGACCTGAGCCAGTGCGTTCTCACAAGGGTGCGTTGTGACAGAAGGGACCAGAGCCAGCCATGTGCTGGAGCCCACACGACGTTTATTTGCCGTCCGGACACAGTGTTCACATGACAGTGATCGTGGAGCCCCTGCACCATGGTTTTATTCAGAGGGCATTGCCTATGTGAGTGCAATTTCAAAACCAGGAAAATAGGGAATAAAAATTGAGGTGTGCTTTGTTTAAATTTTTAGTAAAATTTCTAATAAAGTTGTTTTTCACTCTAGTATATTTCTTTTGTAAGTTGTTCATAAAATGATATGAGAATACTATTTTATCTGTCTGTTGGGCCTAGATAGTAAATGGTTATTTCTGTTTTTCTTGATTTACTGAGGGTTAATCAGAACAAAACAGGGTTTTTTTTTTGTTTTTTTTTAATCCTCACCTGAGGATACTTTTTACATGGATTTTTTTCAGCTAGAGTGGGAGGGAGGAAGAGAGAAACATCGATGTGAGACAGACACATCGATGGGTCGCCTCCCACACAACCCTGACAGGGCCCAGGGGTCGAATCTGCAACCGAGGTACATGCCCTTGACCGGGAATTGAACTCGAGACTCTTTGGTCTGTAGGCCAACTCTCTAACCACTGAGCAAAACTGGCCAGGATTAGGTTCTTGTTCTTCCAAAAGATACTTATTATGAGAGGACTGAGAAAGCCATACCTGCCTATTTTCTTTGTAAATAACAGTTTTAGGATTAGGAGTGGTGGTGTTGCAGAGCTCAGAGATGAGCGGCGTTGGTGTCCGTGAAAGGCTAGGGCTCTGGATGGGTGACGACCCACATCCCAGCTCTGGCCCTGAAGGGCCAGGTGTGTCCTGAGCAGCTTGCCCCCTTTAAGCCTCCATGTCTTCCTGTGAAATAGTTCTCAGTTCCCAGTGCATTGCAAGCATTATGTAATGGTTTATGTAAAATGATCACCATGGTATGTGGAACTTGTTAAACACTTAATAAATGTCAACAATTTATTAAAATTTAATTAAAACGTTACTATTAAACAATATAATGAAATTAAGTTAGTTCCAGTGAAGGAATCAGGTTTATAGATAATTATTAACGCCTCATTCTGTAAAATTTAAATGAATAAATCACATTTTCTTTTCAATTTTTTTGCAGAAATATTGTATCCACAGTGAACCTTGGTTGTAAACTTGACTTAAAGACCATTGCACTTCGTGCCCGAAATGCTGAATATAATCCCAAGGTCAGAGCAATTCAAATGTATTTCAAACTGTAATACAGGAACTTACTTCTAAAGATCCCTAGATCAAAAAATGTGTGCTATGTTGGTGTGCTTGCAGTCTGATTTACTAATTCCTCTGGCGGTGCGGCTTTTCAAACAGAAAGCTTACAGTTATAGAAGCTAGTCGTGGGAAGCAGAAAATATAAGGTAGAAGCAGAGGCCTTAGTATTTATTAAGGATGTAATTAGTTACAGGGAAAAAACAAATTGAGCCCTGCCGGTGTGGCTCGGTTGAGCGTCTCCCGGTGCACTGAAAGGTCACTGGTTTGATTCCCAGCTTGTGTGCTGCCTGGTGATGGGGTCCTGTGTGGGAATGTGGTGTGGGTGCTGTGGTGGCTGTGCTTCAGGTCTTCATTGCTGTCACTGTTTAGTTGTCCTTGTTCTTTAATGACTGTCTTGACTGTTTCAGCGGTTTGCTGCTGTAATCATGAGAATCAGGGAGCCCCGGACCACAGCCCTGATCTTCAGTTCTGGGAAGATGGTGTGCACGGGTGCCAAGAGGTAGGTCCTTCTCTGTTGGGGCTTTGTGTGTTCTTGGTGTAGGCTGTGACTTTAGTGTTGCTTTCTTACTAAGATGGTTGGTTCTAATCACTTTAATCAGCAGTAATTTTATTTTCTTAAAATTAGGCACGTTCCTGGCTGGTGTGGCTCATTTGGTTGGAGTGGCATCCTGTACACCAAAAGGTGGCAGGTTCGATTCCCAGTCAGGGCACATACCTGCGTTGCAGGTTCAGTCCCTGGTTGGGGCGTGTGCAGGAGGCAACTTATTGATGTTTCTCTCTCTCTCCCTCCCTCTCCCTCCTTTCCTCTTGAGAAATCAATTAAAAAGAAAAAAACATTAAAAAAAATTAGGCATGACTTTCAGACATACGTTACAATCACTTATTTCCATATAGTTCTGTTGCATTGTATGTGTATTTGATAAAATGTAATGTCAAAACTGTTACAAAGGATCCCTTTATATAAAACATTTTACACATGACACAGATGCATCCCAAGGGGGAAAATGTGGTTGGGAGTCATGAGAGAGCTGCCTGCCTCCTGCTCTGGCAGTGTGGCTGGGTGCTGCTGCCCTCGTGGTGAGTGGTGTTTGTTCCGAGGATCTGAGTTGTGCACCTTTGCGGCAAAGGCTGCTGCCTGTAATCTGCTTCTTTGTGCAGTGAGCCCCCTGCAAAGGTTAGTTGGTGTTTTGGGACGTTGACTAGTGTAACCTTGTCTAACAGCCCACAGACTTGGTAGGAGGCATGAGAGGGGGAGTGAGGTAAGTAATGAAGTAAATTAAACTCTTAAAATAAATGATTAAAATGTATTTGGAGGTGTTAACATATAGGGGGGCTATGGAGCTTTTGCTTATTCTGAACTTCACAGTTGTCTACAGTGAAGGGAAGGCCATTGGGGTAGACAGTCTGGCTCTGGTCTCAGAGCGTTTTAAGAAGTCAAGGTGTGGGTCTGCCCCTGGCTCCATGTGGCTCTTCATCTAGGGTCTTTATGTGCTTGTTTTCCTCGGGACAAAGCAGCAGGAATGTGAGCTCCATCAGTGATGCTCCACGTGTTCCCTTCCCTGGGGGCGTTTGTGCAGACTTTCACCTTGTCCACAGCACTTCCTGAGACTGAACAGTGTGTATCTATTTGGGTGATTATTTTATCGAGACAACAAACCATAAATAAGTTTATTATCCTTTAAAAAACAAAGCACTGCATCTATGGTTCATTTTTTTATTTTTAATTTTTTTTTCCTTTATTGATTTTAGAGAGAGAGGGAGAGAGAGATAGAAACATCGATGAGAGAGAACATCGACTGGCCGCCTCCTGCATGCCCCCCACTGGGGACCAGGCCCACAACCAGGGCATGTGTCCTGACCTGCAATTGAACCAGCAACTTCTTGGTGCAGCAGGGTCGATGCTCAACCACTGAGTCACACCGGCCGGACTATGGTTAATTTTTATCATTCCTGACCCTGCATCTGAGAACTTTTTGTTTATGATGATAGTATAATTGCTATAGTATAATTGCTCTCATCCATGTTTTACATAAGCTCTGCATTCTAAGTCAGTTTTATCCAATAAGTGAGTTACGGAAATGGACATAAAACAGGAAAGAATTAGTGTAGCATTCTTCAAGGAGAAATCTCATCAGCATTCTGCTATCACAGCGAAGCTTGTTAGCTCTCATTTTAGGAGTCTGAGGCCTAAGCACTGCTGGCAGCGACAATGATGGTGCCGCACACGAGCATCCACACCCTGAGCTGTCAGTGCTGGGCAGGCTGTGAAGGTGGTTGTTTTGGTTTCCTACCTAGTTTCCTGCCAAGGGCACAGGGTGACTTTCTCATGAAATTGTGTCTGCTGATCTTTTCTCTTATTGGGAAGGGGGTGACCAGTTCACAGTTTTATTTTTTTTAAATCATCACCTGAAGATATTTTTCTATTGATTTTTAGATAGTGGCAGGGAGGAAGGCGGGGGCCGAGGGGTGACATCAATGTGAGAGAGATACATCGATGGTTGCCTCCCACAGACCCCGACTTGGGGTCATAGATCGAACCTGCAACCCAGGTTCATGCCCTTGACTGGGAATCGAACCTGCAACCCTTGGGTCTGCCGGCAGATGCTCTTACTGCTGAACCAAACCACCCAAGGCAGTTCACACTTTTTTAAAAGTTATTCTTCTAAATAACTATTTTAGCTGGCTTTGCATATAAATAGCTCACTTTTTCTTTTCCCTAGTGAAGAGCAGTCCCGACTAGCAGCAAGAAAGTATGCCAGAGTTGTGCAGAAGTTGGGTTTCCCAGCCAAGTTTTTGGACTTCAAGATTCAGAACATGGTGGGGAGCTGCGATGTGAAGTTCCCCATAAGGTTAGAAGGCCTCGTGCTGACCCATCAGCAGTTTAGTAGGTAAGTCTGAAGTGTGTTGGGATTGCTTTTGGTAGCAGTCTGTCTGAGTGTTCATGACAAAACATCTGCATGAAGAGCTCATAAGAACAGATTCTGTAGTTCCTGCTGTGTTTACTGTGGAGGTTTCTCCTGTAGCTGTGGTGATGTCTCTGGTTCTTGCCAGCCTTCTTCCCACTGCATGTGGTGACATGAAGGTCCCTTACCAGATGAAACTGACTTCCCTTCTGTATATTCCATCATTATCTTGCTCGGTGACTACATTTCACATTTCATGAACTTTCCCCCAGTTGTTTGAATCTGGGGTCTGCTCAGCATCATTAGATCCACTAGCACAGGGTATGGCTGAGTAAAATGAATGTGTTTTTTGTTTCTTCTCTGCTTCTTTGTTACGAGACCACCAGGCAGAGAAGGTCCCTCCCCACCTCCCTTCTTGCAGCACCACTCAAGCTTGGCATGCCCGTTGGGGCACCAGGGCCTTTGCGTGTCCCACTTTTATACTTGGCACAGTCTTGTTTCAGGTTTGTCTAGAAAATTCCCACATGTATTTCACATTCACACCTGAGCCTCTCTTCCTCAGAGAAACCGTCCTGAATTTTCCACTAAGTTACACACACACCCTAATGTTTTCAGTCTCTGAGCTAACAAAATGAGATTACAAGGATTAGAATATGACATTCGAACAACAGTGAGGTATCACCTCACACCTGTCAGAATGGCTGCCATCAACAAAGCATCAAACAAGTGCTGGCGAGGGTTTGGAAAAAAGGGGTGGGAATGCAGACTGGTGCAGCCACTATGGAAAACACTGTAGTGTTACCTCAAAAAATTAAAAATTGAACTGCCATTTGATCTAGTGATCCCACTTCTAGGAATGTACCCTAAGAAGCCTGAAACACCAGTCAGAAAGAATATATGTACCCCTATGTTCATAGCAGCACTATATACAATAGCTAAGATCTGGAAACAGCCCAAGTGTCCATCAGTAGATGAATGGATAAAAAAGCTGTGGTACATGTACACAATGGAGTACTATGCAGCTGTAAGAAAGAAAGTTCTCGTATCTTTGAGATGACATGGAGAGACCTGGACTGTATTATCCTAAGTGAAACAAGCCAAGCAGAGAGACAAATATTACATGATCTCACTTATTTGTGGAATATAATGAACTAAACAAACCGATAAACAAAATAGACCCAGAGACATAGAAGTAGGGTACAGACTGACAAACCTCAGAAGAGGGCGTTGAGGGGGGATATAAACCACAGAACTTAAATGCACGTATGCATAACCGATGGACGTGGACAACAAAGCTGGGGACGGGTCGGGAAGGGGATGAGGAGGAGGGTGTCAATGAGGGAAAAGGAGAAACACCTAACAAAAATAAATTAATAAAAATAATTAAAGCCCTGGCCGGTTTGGCTCAGCAGTTAGAGCGTTGGCCTGTGGTCCAGAGAGACCCGGGTTCGATTCCTGCTAAGGGCGCGCGTACCTCGGTTGCAGTTTGTTCCCGGCCCTGGTTGGTCGTGCGGTTGGTGGCCACTTGATGTGTCCCTTTTACGTTGATGTTTCTCTTTCTCTCTCTCCCTCTCTTTCCCTCCCACTCTATCTGAACAAAAAATGGAAAAACAATGTCCTCGGGTGAGGATTAAAAAATAAATAAATAAATTGGCCAGCACGAACAGCTACAGAATATTTCAATGTAAGGAGGTGAGATGGGAATGACTAAAAGACAAAATGTTACTGTCAGATCTGAGAAACAGATGTGATCCCTAAACTTGTCCAGAATGACCCTGGGTTAGGGTCAGAGAGACTTCAGAACATTAATGTAAATCTCTCATTATGTGAGAAAATCTAGAGTCATTAGAAACACAATTATTTGATCCTCAGGTGCCAGTTATTGCCCACATGCACGTTGATGCTGTCTGAGGAGCTGGGCTCTGGCTCCTTAGTGTGGCTGTTCTCTGTGATTTTGCTTATGCAGGTCTTCATTTTATCTAAAAGCAGGAGCAGCTTTTAATTTATAAATTGTTTTTGCCCTTTTTCTTCTAGTTATGAGCCAGAGTTATTTCCTGGGTTAATCTACAGAATGATCAAACCCAGAATTGTCCTCCTTATTTTTGTTTCCGGAAAAGTCGTGTTAACAGGTAAGCTGTGAGCAGGACGTAGTTGTGTGAAGGTTCGAAGGGTCCGAGAGCGTTACTTCCCCGTGCTGAGAAGTAGCTTCACAGAATCAGGGCTGCTGGCGACAATTTGTAAAGAGGACTTTCCTTTCTACCCACCGAGAAACATACCCAAGTAGAGGAGTGACAGGAGGGAAATCAGACCTCATGCCTGCAGGTCTTTCAGCCCACACTTGACCTGTAGGGGGAGGGGAGAAGATGAGCATCACCTTGGATAAGAGATGGAGTTTAAAGTGGGAAATTGGCCCTAAAGCCTTTGCATTCATCAGCAGTGTGGTTTTGAGACAACAGAGGGAGACTGGGAGGAGCTCAGTGAAGACAGTGATTGGAGGATAAGATTCAGCTGTTGTTCCTGCACCTGCAGAGGGTGCTCTGTCCTTTTTAGACCCTCTTCAGAGAATGCTGCTTTAAAACAGACCGGATGTGACAAGAGATCTGTCATTAATGTTCTAATGCCTGTGTCTGCTGGTCTGACGCGATAGAGAGAAGGGTGCTAGTAGTTTTGTATCCAAGTCAAACTTTTACCTCCTACTAGGTTAAGAAATGTCATTTCAGACTCTCATTGCTACTCCACTTGTGTCCGTAGGTGCTAAAGTCAGAGCAGAGATTTACGAAGCCTTCGAAAACATCTACCCCATCCTCAAGGGCTTCCGCAAGACGACGTGATGGTGTCTTGCCCTCCCCACCCATGTGTTTTTAAAACAAATCCGTTTTGCTACATATAAGTGGTGGTGGTGTGGTGGCCTGGGTCCGCGGGGCAGCCTGCACGTGCCCTGGCCACAGGCCAGGTGTTGCTGTCGTGGCTGCACTGTGTTTAGATTTAGATTTTAAACTCTTACTGCTGTTGACAAGTTGGTTTAAGGGACAAAACTTTGGTGTTAGAGCCACCTCTACAATTGACTAGACGTTTTATTTTGTTTGCTTTCTGCCCCATAAACCACAGTTTTTATATTTCTACCAGAAAAGTAAAAATGTTTTTTAAAAGTGTTGTTTTTCTAATTTGTAACTCCTAGGATTTATTTTTGTGCCAGACACATTCCGCCTTCTCAGTATTGCAGGACAGAACAGACGTAGTCACGGACACGATGGCTGTGAATATTTCTCCTCAGTGCTCTGTACAGTACATGCTGTTTATAAAAGTGTTCGATTGATGTTATAAATGATGCCTTGTAAGATTTATGTGATCATACTGTTAAGAAGTTGTATTTTAGATATAATGCCTGAAACCACTTCAGTGTGTGTTTGCTTGTTTGTTTCAGTCAACATTTCATCTGTATGTTGCGTTGAAAATGAAAGAACTGCCTGAAAAGTGAGGGTTGCTTGTCAAACATGCATGTGTCATGTTCCATGTATTGAGCTCCTCCTGTTTCCCGGAGACAATGCCTATAACTCACCTAACCCTGCAGCCCATCCCGGAAGTCCCCCTGCTCCAGACCAGCCTCAGCCCCAACCCCCCACCCCAAATAACCATTGTACTAATAGAAGTCAGTCTTTTATTTTTCACGTAATTGGACGTGTTCTTGTATCTGTTTTATTCCTTCAGTTTCCCTTCACATCTCAGGCCGTCTGGCCAGTTTCTCCACGGCTTCTGCTGTCTGTAGACTCGGCGCAGCTCTGCGGTCCCGTCTCAGCTGCTGCGAATGGCGGTGCAGCGGAGGCTGATCCCTTCCCTTGTCAGGACTAAGTGGCGTGTTCTTTTGTTAGAATCAAATGTCTGGTTGACTATTCTCATGGATCCACTATTAATTTGGTAGGAGGTTGCAGATGATGACCTTCTAATCATCTCATGTTCTCTATTCATTGGAGCACTTTGAATCCAGGATGCATGCTGCTTTCTGATAAAATACCTCACAAGTTCATACTGATAGCCCAATTCAGATCTAGGGCTAAAGGGGTGTATTTAACCAGTTGTATATTTTATAGTGAAAATTCTTACTTTTTAAAGGCACACGGGATAATGAGTTAAAAGACGCCATAATCGAGTATCTCACATTATTACTTCAAAAAAAAATTTTTTTTTACTTTTTTAATCTTTATTGTTGAATGTATTACAGATGTTCCTCATTTTTCCCCCATTGACCCCCTTCTCCCCACTCCCACCCCCATCCCGCCTTTTCCCACACTGTCATCTGTGTCCATTGGTTGTGCAAATAAGTTCTTTGGTTTATTTCTTCCCACCCCCAACCCCCCTTCCCTTTGAGGTTTGTCAGTCTAGCAACCAATTTGTATTTCCTAATCCCTTCACCTTTTTCACCCATTCCCCCAACCCCCTCCCATCTAACCAACAAAATGTTTTCTGTATCTATGAGAATGTTTCTGTTCTGCCTGTTTATTTTGTTTATAGATTCAATTGTCAATAGATATGTATTCATTGCCATTTTGTTTGTTCATATTTTTTATCTTTTTCTTCAAAAAGACCCTTCATCATTTCATATAATAATGGTTTGGTGGTGATGAACTCCTTTAACTTTTTCTTGTCTGGGAAACTCTTTGTATGGCCATCGATTCCAAATGACAGCTTTGCAGGACAGCGTAATCTTGGTTGTAGGTTCTTGCATTTCATCACTCTGAATATTTCTTGCCACTCCCTTCTGGCCTGCAAAGTTTCTTTTGAGAAATCAGCTGACAGTCTTATAGGAACTCCCTTTTAGGTAACTAACTGCTTTTCTCTTGCTGCTTTTAAGATTCTCTCTTTGTCTTGAACCTTTGTCATTTTGATGATGATGTGTCTTGGTGTGGGCCTCTTGGGGTTCATCTTGTTTGGGACTCTCTGTGATTCCTGTTCTTGTATGTCTGTTTCCTTCACCAAGTTAGGTAAGTTTTCTGCCATTATTGTTTCAAATAGGTTTTTGATTTCTTGTTCTCTCTCTTCTCCTTCTGACACCCCCAAGATGTGAATGTTGGCATGCTTGAAGCTGTCCCAGAGACTCCTTACACTATCTTCATTTTTTTGGATTCATTTTTTTTTTTTTTGCTGTTCTGATTGGGTGTTTTTTGCTTCCTTATATTCCAAATCAGTGGTTTGCTTCTTGGCTTTACCTACTCTACTATTGAATCTGTGTAAATTATTCTTTATTTCAGTTAGTGCCTCCTTCATTTCCGACTGGTCCTTTATTAAGCTCTTGAGGCCCTCACAAGTTCGCTGAGGTTCTCACTAAGTTCATTGAGCATCCTTATAAGCAGTATTTTGAACCCAGCATCTGTTAGGTTGCTTATCTCCATTTCGCTTAGTTGTTTTCTTGGGGTTTTGTTCTGTTCTTTCATTTGTGACCTGTTTCTTTGTCTCCTCATTTTGGATGCCTCCCTGTGTTTGTTTCTATGTATTACTTTTTTTTTTTTTTTTTTAATCCTCACCCGAGGACACCCTTCCATCTTTTGTACAGATAGAATGGGAGGGAGAGAGAGAGAGAAACATCGACGTGAAGGGACACATCGAGTGGCTGCCACCCGCACGACCAACCAGGGCCGGGGACAAACTGCAACCGAAGTACGTGCCCTTAGCGTGCCCTTAGCGGGAACCGAACCTGGGTCTCTCCGGACCGCAGGCCAACGCTCTAACCGCTGAGCCAAACTGGCCAGGGCTCTATGTATTACTTAACGAGAGGTATGGGACTAGCTGAGACCAGATGCTGCTCGTTTGAAAGAATTTAGGAAAACCTGAAGCAGGATCCAAGACAGGCCAATCCTATGGTGAAGCAACTGGCAACAGCTTGGGTGGGCCTGAAAGTTGGGTGGGGCGGGGCCTCAGGGAATCACCAGGGCGGGGTTACCAGTGTGAGCCAGGTTGCTGGAGTCCCAGATATGGCGGCTGTCTGCCGCCCCAGGGAAGGGCTCACCAAAGGAACAAAGGTCTCTGACAGCACGTTTGTCCCGGAGAAAGTGACCTCTCCAGCCCTCGCTCCAGTGCCAAACAGCTCAGTTCTTCCCTGTATGTCTCTGGTGCCCCTCGAGCTGCCTCCCCTCCAAGCTTAGAGGGAGTGAGTCTGGTAAGTCCATGTGCGAGCCCTTTAAGAGGAGCTGCCTGGGGCTCCAGCTGCCTCAGCCTCCCGGAGCCTCAGTTCCCGCTGGTTTTTCCAGCCAGAAGTGATGGGGATTCTCTTCCTGTTACTGGAACCCTGAGTGGGGGGCCTGGTGTGGGACGGGGACCCCTCAGCCCTCAGGGAGGACCTTCCCAGCCAAGGTGTCCTGATTTTTATCCACCACACGTGGGTGTGGGACCAGCCCCTCTGCCTCTGCCCCTCCTACCAGTCTCAATGTGGCTGCTTCTTTAATTCCATAGTTGTAGGACTTACCTTCAGCTTGATGTCAGGTGGTTCTGAATGATGGTTGTTCTGTAGTTTAGTTGTAACTTTGATGTGGTGGTGGGAGGAGGCGATAACACCTTGGGAAGTCTAGCCGAGTGTCTCACATTGTGCACACAGCGGTGCTAGAGTGACAGAACACGACCACACACATGGTATCGGAAGCATTGCAGCATATTTTCCTGCCGTGCTTTCTGAAGTGTCAGAGGCTGATGGAGCCAGAACCTAGGGCCTGCTGCCTAGTGAATGGGCTGTTCTCAGTGTGGGGCCGGCTGGCCAAGCAGAGTTTCAGGTGGGTGGGTGGGTGGATTGGCAACAGTGACTGACATCCTCTGCAGAAGCAGTTACTGGGTGAGGTGGCTGATCACTTTATGGTGTTTTTAAATGTTTTGACACTTCTAGAAAGAACCGGGTTGCATGATTTTGCATAATTTATTTTTCAATATAGTTGCTATTTTAAGAGAGGCGACATCTCATTTTATTTTAGGAGATGCTTAGAGAGTCACTCCCAGGCTACTGGAGGGAAGGGTATTACAGCTTGTGAAAGGTACCTGCAGAGACACAGATGGAGAAAGTACTGACAGCTCTGAGGGGAGGGATTTGGGGACCTGGGTGGGAAAGGTGAAGGGGTTAAGCAAAAAAAAAAAAAAAGACAACTGCGTGATGATTACCAGAGGGAAAGGGGGTGGGGTGAGGTAGAAGAGGTTAGATAGGGGATACATGGTGATGGAAGAAGACTTGGGGTTGTGAACACAGATGATATATTACAGAATTGTACACTAAAACTAGATAATTTTATTAACCAATGTCACCCCAGTAAATTCTAAATTTTAAAAAGGCACCTGCAGAGAATGGGGGTGCATCTTTCCTTCCAGCAGTTAAAGTGGTGGAAATGCCAAACTTTGCTCATGCGCAAATTCTTTCCCTGCAGATAACAGGGAAAGTGAGATCCTAAAGATGAGAGAGAGAGAACCAAGGGGAAGGGAGGAAGGTGGGCTTCAGAGCATATCCCTTCTCCCAGGCCACAGTGATTGGTCCAAAGGTACAAAATGGACACTTGAATCAACTGAGAACAGGAAGAATGCTTTGTGGGGTGAAGCTGAGGGCAGTGTCTCAGTTGGGTGGCAGCTGTGTGGAGCTGTGGGTGCAGCAGTCCAACCAGAACAGGGCAGGGCTGGGGAGGAGCGTGCTCTGAAGTCAGAGTCCCTGGAGCCTGCGGGCTCTCCAGCCAGCTGCTCTTCTGCCTGTGGACTCCTTTCTGTTCCAGTGATGAGTTGTCACTTGCAACTCAGGGTCCTGAGTCAGAAAAGTTGGGTTGTGCAAGGGGCCGTGTCTGGAAGGAGGCTGCCTGTGATTTTGAATGTCTACGTTGTCATGAGGGGAAGAGTTGGGCTGGGCTCAGGACACAACCCACCTTTTAGATCATCCTGGAGGTTGGCACTTCTCAAACTCTACAAAAGACCCATTTTCCTTTTCTAATTTTTATTCCATCACAGGCCAGTGCACTTGTGAAACACATTAAAATAAGCCATTAGAAAAAGGAGATACAAATTATTAGCCAAATCTTTATGAGATTAAACTGACATAAAATCACTTTCAGGTAAACCTACACTTAGTTGCTGCGCTTGCCTTGTGGCACACTGAAAATAAGTTTACGGTCCACATGTTCACACACACACACTTCAACGTACGGGGCTGGAGGTGACAGAGCCACAGAAGTGCCAGGATGCAATTTGAGCTTCTTAGAAGGACCATGTCTTCATCGAGGCATGTCAACCTCTGCTCTGAGCCCTGACATGTTTCTCAGGACCTGGGACAAACACCCAGAAGGCACCGTGAAGGACCGATGACTCAGAATTACGAAGTTTTCTTTTTAACTGTTAGAGCTAAGAGCTACACAAGAATGGGATGGGCTGACTTGTGGAACAGCAACTTTGTTTTTGACGCTGGCAGTAGGAAGAGAAAGGAAAAGGCCAGAAGTGTGTACACGTGCCTGCATCTGTGTGCGTACAATGTGCGGGCACATGGAGCCCCCACTGAGGACAGCTATGGTGTTAGCCTGACTGGTAAACCACATAACCAAGCGCAAAGGGAGAACTGTGAATGCACCGTGTCTGCAGCCCCAGTGTGTTCCCAGGTTTGAGAACCATGAGCAGCTGGTCTGTGCCTGTATTTGACTTTGAAATAGACCCTTTCCAGAAACAGTGCCTCCAAATAGGGGGCTGCAAGGACATCATCATAAAAATCTTTGTTCTATGGTGTCCAGTGTTAATATGTTCTGAAGGGCAATTCAATACCCTCTAACCCCAAAGATTGAAACAATGATCCTGGAGTGAATTTTAAACAGATATTTTCAAAACTCAGCAACTGCCGGGAAGGACTGTCCACATCAGGTTATCCCCGACGTCCCTCTCGTGCAGGACTAGTGATTCGGAGGAAACAGCCCCTCTGCCTGAGAGCCACGAACTGTCAGATATTGTGATTCATCTTTGAGGATGGTCTTGATTTAGTTCAATTTCAGTATTGGTTTATTATGCTAAATATTTTGTTTGCTATTGCATTGTACGAATTCTTTATATATTATGGGCATTAACTCCTTATCAGATACATGGTCTGCAAGTATTTTTCCCACTCCAAAGATTATCTTCTTTCTTGGGTGTTTTTGTTTTGGTACAATGATCTGAGTGAGGTTTTGACTTAATTAGGCATATAACCCATTAAAAAATTTTTTTAAAAATTGATTTTAGAGAGAGAAGAAAACATTGTAAACAGAACATTGATTGGCTGCTTCCCCCCCCCCCCCCCCAGTGGTATCTGGCCCAAACCTGGGCATGTGCCCTGAACAGGAATGGCAACCTCTTGGTGCATGGGTCGACACTCAACCACTGAGCCACACTGGCTGGGCATATAACCCATTTTTATTGAAAGAATACACACGTAAAAAGGTCATTTTACTTAGTCCACCATTCAGCTAAGCAGTTCACACCTAGTACGTATCTTCCCAGGTTTATTTCCACGCACATACAATGTACAAATACGATGGTATTTCAGTGCCAGTCCAGATCGGAACCTTATCTGGTGTGCATTCAGGTCTGTATCATTAAAACTGCACAGCCTTCCCCTGGATACACCAAAATTGATGTGATTCCTTCGTACTGGACACTTTTGTTTCACTAATTTTTAGACATACATAGTAAACAATGCCAAAACCAGCTCCGTGCCTCTCTCTCTGATAAAATAATTTCCTAGGATGGAATCCTGAACGTGGAAGCGCAAGGTCCGAGAGATTACGGGCACTTTCAAGGTGTTCTGAGGGTGTTTCTAAGGTGCATCGGTAACATCTTGCTTCCAAACAAATTCCTCTGCGTAGCCAGTGCCCAGGCTGCAGCTCTCAGCGCAGGTGAAGACGGCCAGGACGCCCCAGTCAACACTCCTGCCCAGCCTGTCGGCCTTCAGGTAGTTGAGCAGCTGAGGCATGACCTGAGGAGAGAACGCCAGTCAGAGACTGAAGAGCACCGTCTGCCTCCAATGCCCGTCCCTGCCGGGGCGTCGACAGAGTCCTGAGCTCTGTTTCCACACCGCATAGAACTGTACACAGTACACAAGGACCACAGTTAATTGTTAAAATACTTTGCAGCTCTGAACTCAGAATCCTTCTCTCACTTGGTGTCTTTCTGTTCCATTTGAGAAAGAAGGTCCCAAGTATAATAGACTGGCTGTTCCATTTGGCTTGGCTGATGACCCAATTAATTTTATAAATAAGATGCCACAGAACAGGGCTGAGACTTGTATCTGGCCAACTTTTTGGTCACTTGAACAGCAGATGCTGTTACTATGACTCTGAAGAAACACTACTAGTAATGAATACAAAAAGGAAATCTACTGATGTCTTTGAACAGAAAGATCTCAGGAGTCTTCACACACACACTGGCTGCTCGTCTCCGGCAGCAAGAGCTTCGGGAGTGAGAACTGCCCCTGCTGGGGGCAGACCCTTTTCACCCCAGGAAACAAGCATCACATATTACTCCGTGACGTCATTGAGTCCCGTTTTCTTTAGGAAAATATTTGTTAATGATCACATCTATTTCTTTTCCTAATAAATCCTACAACACTCCTCTCCCGAAGTACAGAGCCAGACCCTGATTAACGGAACAAGGTGTATCATTTAACATTACCTACGGCAGTTACCTATGTAACAGGCAGTTACAATAACGATATAACTACAAGGAGGTGGAGGACGGTCCAGATGGTAAAAGCAAATGCATGTAAATCATCATTATTGCAGTCAATAGATGTATGAAAACTAGAAAAATGACAAGTACCAGAAAAATCACATTATTCAGAGATGGGAATAAGTACCAGATAAAACAAAACAGTAAGAGGCCTTTTAAAGCCCTGAGGTGGGACAGGAAAGTTGTGATTTTCGCAACAGGGCTACTTCTATAATACCATACAGACCTGTGCACATGTTACTTTGGTCAAGTTTTATTGTTGAAAACAAAGCAGGGTAATTATACAGTAAAATAGTTCCTACTAAGGGCTATACCTGGAATTCAAATATTCTCTTGGCTCCACAGGGGCAGTCTGGAATGTCCTTCTCTTGGGGGATATTTTCACCAGAGATCCAGATGGGGGCAAGCCCTCTGCCATACCTGAGAATCTGGAATTAATCAGGACTGTGTTTCAATCACCCACATCTCACCCGAGTTCCCACCGCTCCAGTAATTGACGGAACTCTCTTCTGAAAGACATGCCCGCCCCTCCTCCCAGCGCCTTCTCACTGTCCCAGAGCCACCATTTCAGCTTCTCCAACTCAGGACAGCAAAACTATCTTGGATGGTAACATGGTCTGAATCTGAATATTTGTGAAGGGACTAACACTAACCCCATTTCCCCATTCTGAATCCAAAATGCAGCCATCTACTACTTACCTTCACACAGATATAAGAAACCTTAAACACTTTATTTTTTAAATCCCCACCAAAGGATAGTTTTCCATTTATCTTCAGAGAGTGTGAGGGGGAGAGAGAGCGACAGAGAGAAACATCGATGTAGCAGAGACACATCGATTGGCTGTCTCCCACACGATCTGACCAGGGCCAGGGCAGGACCCCAACCGAGGTACATGCCCTTGATTGGAATCAAATCTGCGACTCTTTGGTCCTCAGGCCAACACTAACCGCTGAGCCAAACCAGCCAGGGTGAAACCAGAAACATGTTAAAAGGGACAAATACCAAATGAAACACAGTGTTTAGGCAGATACTACCTACAGAGGTAAATTTCATAAGATCTTATATAACAATGGAGTGTTTTTCCTATGTTTTGTCAAAAGCATAAAGTGCTAAAAAAATCTTGTCAGCCTCTCCAGTGTGGCTCAGTGGACTGAGCATCTTCCCATGGACTGAGGGGTCCTGAGTCAATTCCCGGTCAGGGCACAGGCCTGGGTTGCAGGCTCGATCCCCAGTACGGGGCGTGCAGGAGGCAGCCAATGAATGTTTCTCTCTCTAAAAACAATCAATAGAAATGTTTAAAATATACATATGTTACAAAACACAGACAGACAAAAACCGTGTCAGTGTTTAAGACCTGGATCAATTCTTCCTACGAGCCCTGGATACTGATTTGATCCAGTGACTAGTTTATGGGGATCTGGTTGACTTTTCCCTTGAGACTACTGTTCAGTGAAGGAGAAGGGGGAGCACAGGGATGAGGAGCAAGGGGAACATGCTGACCACTCCACCTGAACCACAACCAAATTCATAATCTCTCTCTAGGACCCAGGATTATTATTACAGAACCAGTGTCTGTGTGTTAACATGTCATGTTTCACAAGCCAAAGTCCCTGTTAGAAAGTGGGGGAAACATCTTTCCTTTGTGTTATCACTGCCTCAGCTCCATGTGTTGCAGGCAGCATTGCTGATCCCCATCCCTGACGCTTTCTTCAGAAAACAAGTCCTGTATGTTCTATATGAACAGTATCACCTTTGTTCTTCCCATAACTTAAGAGGATCAGCACTGCAAAAGCACCTGCCCTTTGTGGGAAGGGCTGCCGCAGCGGGACACTCTCCAGCGATGACACCCCTAAAACCACCCCTGAAAGGAACACAAGAGGGAGCCATGTGAGCTCGATTTCACCTGTTCTGGTTCCAGGGCTACTTTAGCCTTAAACTCCTGGAAAATCTTATCTTCCCTGGATTCATGTTTTGCCATGGAATCCAATTCTTCCTCGGGTGCTTCACCTGAAAACCATCAACGTAACTATTACAGCAGCAGGAACAATGCCCATGACTTGACAATTCCCAAAGACTGAAGGCAGCATTTTAAACAACTAAGTGTTAAATGAATCAGACATTGAAGACCAGGTGTTTCCAAAGGCTTTCCTTATTTAAATTCACCTGGGTGGTCTGTAAGACCACCCGAATTTCCAGGGACTCCATGAAGCCAGCCTTCCTCACAGGCTCCTAGGGAGCACTTCTCTTCATTAAAGCTTCCAACTGGAAAGAACAGCTCTAAGTCCCGGCTCAGGACGGCTGTGCTCAGCATATGATGGGACACCCAACAAACGTGAGCCCTTGTCACTACCGCCCTTAAGCGACCTGGACTCTTACTTCAAACCTCCTCACGTCTCACACCCGTCCCCCCAGCTGGTCCACTTGCTCAGCCGCCGTGCTCACGTGAGACCTGCCGGCTCACTCCTCTGCCCTCAGCTCCTGGGACTCCCGCTGCACCACTGCTGTGCTCAGCATGGATTAGCCCTGTGACAAGTATCAGAGTGTCCTTCTGACATCCTTAGATGAACCGCAGAACGTTCTCATCTAAAATAGAATTTGTGGTGGTTCTTAAAAGCTCGAGTTCTAGTCAGTGATATGTGAACTCCAATCCAGTTGCAAAACTAAGAACTCATGTTAGTTATATGACCAAACAAGTAACACCCAGGATCTCCAAGTAGTAGCTGCAAAGTGGGGTAGAGCTGCCAACTTACGATTTTCATGAGATCACGCACAAATGCTCTTGTGTAGAGTAAGTGTTGCCAATCCGGCTCTTAGGGAATATTGATTAGCAGAGGCTCTGGAATGTGATCAGCTCCAGAGAACTAACCAAATCGTGTATCTAAAACTGGCCAGATGAAAAAGAAACTCACTTTGAAAGGGCTCTGCTGGTCCTGGCTGGGTAGCTCAGTTGGTTAGAGCATTGTCCCTGATATGCAGGTTCCATCCCCGGTCAGGGCACATACAAGAATCAACCAATGAACGCATCAATAAGTGAAGCAACAACTGATGTTTCTCTCTCTAAAATAAAATTTTAAAATAGTAAAGAAACAAAGGTCCTGTGCCTGCCAGGCATTCTCACACAAACCACCTTGATCTGAGGAAAAGAACTGAGACCCAGATGAACATACCACTTTCCCAGCATCTCGTGCAGCCCTACCCAAGTGCCCAACGGCATCCTTCCTCAGGCACACCTTCATGGCACCAGAATGGGCCAGATGTGTGTCAAGGGGGAGGTACAGGATGGATACTGTAAAATGAGACAATCTTTGAAAATTCTATATGGATGTCTCCTGTCGGTACCCCTCTTCTTGACACACAGAACCCTCTGTTTCTAGCATTATGTGCAATTGCTTAATGAATCAAGTTCTGAAACTGACCCCTTACCCATGCTCCCTATAATCTCCGGTTCATCTTCTTTTTCTGAAACTTCAGGCGTACTCTCATCTTCTGTTTCTATTACGATTTCAAATTCGGGAAAAAGGAAGTTGTGGTCTGGAACCACATTGTCCAAATTATCTGAAACAAAAAATGTAACCATTGATGATAATTTAGTTTTGCCCTGGCCGGTTTGGCTCAGCGGTTAGAGCTCAGCCTGCAGTCCAGAGAGACCCGGGTTCGGTTCCCGCTAAGGGCGTGTACCTCGGTTGCAGTTTGTCCCTGGCCTGGGTTGGGTTGTGTGTGCGGGTGGCGACCACTCGATGTGTCCCTTTCACATCGATGTTTCTCTCTCTCTCTCTCTTGTCCCCTCTCTATCTGAACAAAAAATGAAAAAATGTCCTCAGGTGAGGATAAAAAAAAATAATAATAATAATTTAGTTTTGAAAATGGTCTAATAGTATTCTAGTTCTAAAGTATATTCCATATAGTAACAGTTCCCCCTAGTAAACTAATATCTACACCTCCAGGACTTTAAGTTGTAGGCCATACGTTAAACGCCTCTGCTATGGGACATAACTAAGTGGGCAAGATCTCACAGCTCTTTTTATTTTTTTAAAAGACTTGTTTTTATTATTATTGACTTTTAAAGAAAGTGGGAGGGAGAGGGAGAGAGAGAAACATGCATGTGAGAGCGATGTGGAAGCAAAACATCAATGGGCTGCCTCCTGCCCACCCCCACACTGGGAATCAAGCCCCCTACTGGGGCTTAAGCTCACAACCCCATGCCTGCCAGGGCTCACAGCTAAGAGCTAAAGATGCTACTACCAAACTTATGAAAAGTACTATAGGTTTTCTCAGTTTAACTTTTCTCCACAAAATAAAAAATCTGGGTTGGTAAATACTACGAAAATGAACTGAAATTCAACAAGAGGGACTCACCTGACTGTCTACAAGCCTGCTTATGTCCGGCTCTCCAGTCCAGAGTCTGGTGCTCCTTACTGCAGTAATGCGCCCGGTGACAGCCAGAGCACGTCTTGGGGCCCAAACAGCCGCAGACCCTGCAGAGATGAGCCCCAGATTTGAGCTTCAGACACACGGGTTCTCCCGTCTCTGGGGGAGGGTCATCAGAAGGCGGCTCATGTGAGTAGAAGTCATTTTTCCTGGGCAGCTGATTTCTGAAAACTATAAAAAATGAGAAGGAACACTATATTTTACTTACTTGTTTATATTGATTTTTTAGAGAGAGGGACAGAAACATCACTCCGTTCTCCTGCACGCCTCCTACTGGGGACCAGCCGCACCCCGCCTGGGCCCCGACCGGGACCCGCTGAGCCGCAGCGGCCGGCACGATACACCGTCTTTTATAAAACAGGATTCAATTCAAGTATTTGACCCTCCTGTGCGCACAGGGCTGAAAAGACACGTTAAAAAGAGGGCAGTTTTTGCTTTCAGTGAACCTATTTTCTGAAAGGAAAGAAAATAAAAAACACAAAAGTTGGGGAAAAAAAGTTTTCAAGTTCAGAAAAGTAGTTTGGGACCCACGACCGAGCTCGCTCAAGTCAACCAAGGAAGTAACGGGACTGGCAGACGGCAAAGAGCGGAGAAGCGGCGGGGACCCGGCTCCCTGGGAACCGCCAACTCGAGCATCTGAGCGGCGCGGACTCCGGGTGGTTGGAAACCCGCGGGGCGCGCCCCCGGAAGCCGCCCGCCGCTCACCGCGCAGGCCCCCGCAGCAGGGCGGCGAGCGGCAGCAGAAGAGGAACAGGCCGCGGTGGAAGGCGTCGGCGCGGCCGGGGAGAGGCGCGTACAGCTGCAGCACGAAGGCCGGCGGGCGGCCGCACAGCGCGCACGCCAGCTCCGCGGGCCCGGGCAGCCCGGCCTCGCCCAGCCACGCCGGCCGCCCGCCCACCTTGCTGGGGAACTGCTCGCTGCGCAGCCGCCAGGCCGGCGCCGTCTCCGCGAAGCCCAGCTCCGCCGCCCCGGCGCGCACGGCCGCCATTCCGGAAGGAAGTCGGCGCCGGAAGGCGCGTAGGACAGGCGACCAGAAGCGATTGGACAACCAGGGCGAGGGGCGTGGACCACTTCCGGTCTCGCTCCTGGGCGCGTGACGTGCTGCGGCGCGCGGGTTCTGCGTGCCGGGCCGACCGGCTCGCACTGCGCACGCGCCCGTCCGTCTGGCCCGGTCGGCGTCTGCGGCGTGTGCGCCGCCGGGTGTCCTCGGGGGGCGGAGGGGCGCGGCGCGCGGGGAAAGCGTTCGGGTCGGGGGGACAGGGCTGCAGCCCGGCGAGGGTGGTGTGGCGTGGCGCTCTCAGAGGAGGGTGCGGGTCGGAGCTCCGTGGTTAGGGCTGCGGTGGTGAGGTCGGGGCGGAGGCGGGAGCCGGGCTGATTCCAGAGACCTCGTTCGTGATCCCCAGGTCAGTGGTGCAGAACAGTCCCCGTGATGCCGATTGACCCCCCCACGCTGCGTCCTCTCCTGGAAGATGCCCTCCTCGCGCCCGTCTCCACAGGCGGGCCCAGGCCGCCGAGACGGCTGCAAGAGCGCGCGGCACCGAGGGCTGCATCGTGCACGGCCGGCACCTCCAGAGGCAGCTGTACCCCACTCAGTGAGCAGCATCTCGGCAAATCGAACTTGAAGATGAAGCATCAGTAAACATGCTTGTGAATGGTGGACAAGCGGTTGCGTGGGAAGTCCAACAGAACTGAGGCTGGAATTGTTCTCGCCGCAGGATCTTAAGAGAAACAGACCTAAATTGTCCACTGAGGCTCATATGCAGAATTGGCTGGACTTGGAGAAGCTGGAGAATTAGGCAGAGACACCTCCCATCTCTCACCCAGACTTGAATCCGCCCTCCCAGGCTCAGGGAAGGTGGAGGAAGGCCCCGTTCTTGCTTCCTCAGCCCGGATCTCCAGCTTAGTGCAGAGGGGAGCAAGCAGAGCAGGAGAGCCACACACCCCACCGATATTCACTGAGCACCTGCTACGCGAGGCACGACACTGGGTGCTGGGGAGACTGAGCGAGATGAGGTCGCTTCCCTCCTGAATCGCACAGTTCAGTGGAGGAGACAGACATGTGAATACTGCAGGGTCCTCTGAAGAGAATAGGGTCTGAGACAGGATCTAAGGGAGGTCTTTAGGGAGGTGAGGAGCACTCAGGGACTGGGAAGAGCCAGGATGGCCTGGGAAGAGCATCCGGGGTGTGGGGTGGAGCAGCTCCAGGCCCTGAGGCACAGGGAGCTTGGCAGTTCGCAGCTCAAGATCAGCTGCAGCACAGGCCCAGGGCAGTGCTGGGAACAAGGCTGGGCCGACTGTGGGGGTGAGGACTTTACATTTGGCCTCAATGCACATTAGTTCCACTTGTTGAAAAACATCCTCTGATAGACACCGGTCTCTCTTCAAGCTGCCCGGTTCCGAAACAGAACCCATCCACAATCAAAAGCCAATGGGAGGAAACGGAGCCCCTGGACGTGTTCCTCCACCAGGACTGCCTCTTGCCTCACAGAAGGGACACCAGCAACAAGTGGTGAAAATACTCACACTGGAGCTGGTGACCCCGCCAGGAAGTAGATGGTTTGCACATGGGAAGGCTGGCTGTGGGGGCCTTTCTTGGAATTTCCTTGACAAAAGATTTAAAAATCCCTTTAGAACCGGGTCTTTGGCCTGCCAGACACTAGTCTCCAAATTAGGCAGAGAACCTCACAAGTCTTTGGGGCGTGAAGCCCAGACGTGTCTCTGCTGTGTGTCCCCTTTATCCTGCCTGTGCCTTCATTTTCTCATTTGTAAAACTGGAAGGATAATAAAATCTGCATCGGAAGGTAATCTTGAGATCAGTCTGCATATTATCTTCATCTTGGGTTACTCGGGGTGCGCGTGGCGGGACTGAGCTCAGAAATCGAGACTTCTCAGCCCTGGGCACTGCTCTGGGCTTCCTCCAAACTTCTTTGATGGCTCCAGATACCATGGGTTCACCCTAACAGGGGAGCCCCCAGCCTGTGCCCTCCCTGGGTCAGGACTCCCTGCACAAGGCCTGACCCTTCACTCTGTTTAAATGTCTGTTGAGTAATTACACCCCAGAAGCAGTTGTTCAAAATACATTTCTCAAACTGTGAGCCTGGGTCAAAGTTTTACTTCAGATTTACAGGAAGGAAATCAGCAAAAAATAAAGAACGTTGATTCAAAGAGCAATTTTGGGGAAGAATTTTATAGGGAGACCAACAGGGAGGACTGTGCTGTCCGAGGTTTTCACCACGGGAACACTTCGCTGTCCGGCGCAGCAGCCTCTCGTTCCATGGTGGCTGTGAAGCAGGTGCATTGGCTAGTGTGACAGAGGAAATGATTTTTAAATTTTATCGAATCCACTAACATTTAAATTTAAATAGCACATGTGGCTAGGGGTACAGTATTGGACAGGGCAGGGCTAGTAAATAATTTTAATCCAACTACAACTTGATCCATTGCTTCAGCATGGGGAGGATAGAGAAAGATCCAGACAGATGAAGGAAGAGGGAGAGAACAGTGGTGCACCCAGTGTCTGCCCAGAGCCCTGGGCCATGGTTTCTGAGGGTTCGGTGGGCCGGGGGCCCAGTGCTGGCTGTGGAGGTTCTGCCCGAGAGGGGGGACTGAGTGCTCAGAGGGGCGGGCCTGGCGTGGCCTTGATTTTGGGGTCCCCCTGCTCTGATCCCATATGCCCCTATCCTTAACCTTACAAAGATTTTTCCTGGGGGAACGGGTGCTTTAGTTTTGTTTTTAATTACAAAATTGCTAATGTTCAGAGAAAACCTAAAGGTAGAAACAGAAAAGTGAAAACCCTGGAAATCCCATTGCCCACCTGAGCACCTGGCATCGTGAGGGCGGTCACCAATGATAAGAACGGGATGGTGCTCAGTAACCGGGAAGAGCAGGTTTATTGAGGGAAACACCGGCCAGGCTGCCTCCAAGTAGAGCGCAGCAGCCGGTTTGTACAGACGAAGGGTTTTTAAACTTAGGGCTGGGGTGGGTGGTTGCCCCACCAAGGAGTCGCGGTCGTCCTTGATTGGTTGGGGCTGGGGTCTTTGGTTTGGGGCGAGGTTAAACAATAAGAGGCTGGGGGTAGTAATATGGAAGTTAAAGTTAACATTTCCCGACTCTTAGTTAATATAAGTTGGAAGGTTAAAAAAGTTTGTGTTGATCAAAATTTTGGGTTGGCCCCCCAGGGAGGGCCTCTCGGGCAAGAGTATTCTTCTGTAGCTACTTCCTGCTGTTCTTCCTATGGGTTGCTCCTCCTGGGGGGTCACCCTGGGGTAGAGGGGTGTAAGTTTGGAGTAGTAGTTGGTGGTGGGCTACCCTGACGAGTTCAATAACCCGTGTTTGCAAAAATTTTAGGAAAGAGGGAAGAAGCAAGAGGAGGAGGCAGATAATTATCAATGGGCTGATGAGCTGGGCAATTATGTTAAAAAGGGGATTACTGCTTAGAGGTGAGGGTTCCTTGTGTCTGCGGTTACGGTTATGGAGCCTCTCCTGTAATTTTCGGAGAGAGTTAATATTTTCCTCTACTATACCTGATTCGTTGATATAGTAGAAACATTTTTCTTGGAGGAAAAGGCAGGTACCTTCTTTCTCAGCGGTGAGAAGGTCCAGGGCCTGTCGGTTTCGGAGGGCGACCTCTGCTAGGGAGGCTAGGGAGGCAGCCGAGTTTTCAAAACCTCTTGCTAGATCCGCCTGAATTTGTTCAGTCATCTTAAGGCTGTAGCCAAGTCCAGCTCCCCCAATTCCTAGGGTGGCTACTGAGGAGAAGAAAGAGAGGCCTACAAGAAAAGGGAGAAAAATGGCCCGCTTCTGGCGTGGGGTTTGGAGGTTTCCGGCTCCCTCATCCTCAGTGTAATACAGAAGATGTGGGGTGAGGATTGTCCGAATACATGGGCCCAAAGAGGTGGTGTCGATGTGGTTGGTTGGAGTGTGGTTACACCAAAAGAAAGTTCCCCCGAGGACTTGTAAAGTCAGAGGTAATTTGATGAGTTTGATTGCATGTTGGGTGGGAGATGTCCTTATAGTAGCATAGATTATAGGTGTTATTTGGGGGTGTGTAAGAGCACGTGGTCTAGGGAGAATGAGGAGGCAGGGCGGGTTTTAGAAGTGTTTAAGGGATATGATAGTGAGACTGCAGCCACTGGTGGTTGGTCTAGGAAGGCACAGAGAAAACATTGAGAGGGCTCGACGTCTTGAGGTAGGTTTAGAATTAGGACTCTTTTTCTTATTAAATCTAGCCATGCAAAGGGGGTCTGTTTGTTGGAAAGGTATTTAGTTAAGGAAGTTTCTTGGGTTAAGATTTTGTGGGTGAGATCTTCCAGTCCCTTACCGCACCCACTTCCGGCCGATGGACATACAATATTTAGAGAATCCTCTCGTAAGTATTCCGTTTAGGCCTTTTTGCCTTTTAGAGTCCCAGGGAGCTCCGATGCTGAGGACCCAGTGGGGGTAGTGTATTCGCGGTGAGCTATTTCAGTATCTGTTTTTGTAAATATAATTGTGTCTCCCCAGTAGAAAGATGACGTTGTGCAAGGGGCAGAGGTAGTGAAGTGTGGCAAGAAAGCCCTTGAGGTAGTTGTAGGAGCACAGAGCCTCATCCCTGTGTAGCTTTGAAGGTGGGATTGGTTTGCAATGACTTTAAGAGCCATCGGACAACCTGTGAAGGGGCAGTCTGTGGAAGCAATTACTTGGGAGGGAGGCCAGGATAGAGGAGGCATTGAGAAAGAATCTCCAAACGTGCAGCTCAGGTCCGGAGCCTGAGGAAGAAAGTGGTGTGTGTAGGGTAAGAGAGAGAAGAAGGAAAGACATTCTCTAGGCAAGTAGAGAGAGAAAAAAGAAGAAAAGTCCGTTTCAAAGGGCTCGGATTCCTGAAAGGCTCCCTTCCAGGTGAGGTCCTGGATCCAGGTGAGGAGTTGTTCTACTTCCAGACTGTGGGGTCTGAACCCGGCGACGTCTTCCAAAATCCGAGCGAGGAAATAAAATATCTTGCAAGGCGGA